TTTAGTTCCCGAGAAATTCATTGTGGTTGGGCCAAATGAAAACTTTAGCTGCGACAGCAATTAGCCCGAATGTCACAATTGCAAAATTACAATACTCAAGATATTACTCATGAGGTTCGGTTTCCATTTTCACATTTTTCACAAAGCAAAATCACGCAAAGGCAGCTGATACAAAGTTGGGAAACGTGCAATTTTCTAATTGCCCTTCAATGGGGCGTGACAGAGACATTAACAATGGATTCTGGCCATTTCCATTTCCCAAATGTGCATTCCCAGTGGGCTTACATGCCCAGATCATGTCAAGATATATGTACTTATGCGGAGGTATAAATCACGTTGGAGCATTCCTATTTCTGGACCATAATCGATTATTGTTTTCCAAATTTACAGATCTTTTTCTTTTGCCAAATTGAAAAGAGTTTTTGTGAATCTGACACATTGCAAAGAGCCATAAAAGCATTCTAATGGAATATTTGTATGATTTATAGCTACCCCTCTTGCTGTTTGATGTTGAATTAAAAGATATAGACAAAGAACGATAAGATATTGTAGAAGGAAACAGACAACGAACACTTGCTGTCAAGACTCTCCCAACTTGGATCTATCTATAAGGCAGTGAGTCAGTTATTTTCGGGCTAGTTGCCTTTATTATTATTATAGGGCCACAACTGTTTCCGCCCTCGCAATGCGGAATCATCTTTTGTTGATGTGCCTGAATGCAGCCGGAATGACACTGATTGTGTGTTACGTATACGTAATATGAGCATCGCTCATACCCAGGCCAACAGCTGACCTAGGCATCGAATTTGAGCTTTGTTTGATTCTGCAGCTGTATCTGTATTTCTGTATTTCCATGGGTTAATTCCGTTTGCAAGGTGCGGGAGATGCGCTTGATTGAGTGCTTTCAGTTTCGGATACGAACCCCACAATTCACCCCTAAAAACCAACCCAGACCCAGACCCCCAGCGATCGGCAATGATCTTGTAAATTGTTAATTCGAAAATAAACGCTTTGACGCGCCCATGAGCTATTATTGGCTTTAATTTATTGTTCCAATTCTAATCAAGAAAATAAACAAGTTAGCGCTTAAAATGATCTTTCAGTTCTGTATGACAAAGTGACCTTTTATTTTGGCAGAGCATGGAACTGCATTGGCAGCTGCTGACGTTAATCGTGTGCCTCCAGAGTCTGCGATCCGCCGGATTCATCCTGCAGGAAGAGCGCAAGTGCACATACGGTCGCATCGAGAAGCTACTGCGCATCCGCTGCTACGACTTGGACCTCAAGGAGGTGCCCCAGAACCTCAAGACCTCGGTGGAGGTGAGTAACGATCGCGGGGTCAGACGATCACGTCGTCAGCGGACCCCTCGCCACAGTTGGCCTCAATTGAGCTTAATTAAAGAATAAAGAAGTTGCCCACAAACATAAATTTATCCATTACATATACGTATGCATATATACATTTGTAGTTTATGGGAACCCTACCCATTCATAACTCTGAACTGTCATTTAATGATCTGACAATTCGCTGGCAATTTTTGCAGGTTCTGGATCTATCGCACAATCGCATCAGGAAGCTGAAAAGTGGCTCGTTTCAGAAGTACACAGACATTAAGTTTCTGATGCTCTATGATAACATGATCTTATCGGTGGAGGTGGGAACCTTTGAGCCACTTACCTCGCTCCAGGTAACAACGACATCCAATTAATCAGCGATTGCGTCTTTAATTAATTTCCCAATCGACGTTCCCAGGAAATAGATCTTTCGAATAATGGACTGACAACGATTCCGCTGGAGCTGTTCCAGCTGCCGCGGCTGAGAAACCTCTATATAGACAGCAATGAGCTGACATCCCTGAATCTCCAGGCACTGGAGAAGCCTGTCCGGGCTCCACTGGAGTATCTGAACGTGGCAGGCTGCGAGCTGCAGGAGCTGCCCGATCTGGGGATACTGCCAAGTAAGTTGGGGCTTAATAAAATACCGAAAATGTTCTGTTTAAGTGTGGACCTTCAAGATCTTTGGCCAAGTATCTATACTTTTTTTGTAGGTATGTTTATTTTTTGGCTTCTAACCGATTCCCCAAACTTTATAATAGCTTATATTAGGAATATTTTGAACACGTAGACAAGATCTTCAAATATTAATAGCCACAAATGAAGCACATAATATGTTTTTGAACTGTTCAAGTCAAATAATTATGTATATTAGAGACTGCAAATAGAAATCGATTTTTGTTAAAAAATAATTTCTATCCTAACTTTGTGCAGAACATTTTTAAAAGATATTGGTTATTAGTTACCCGTATTGCAATGTAACTTTAAGTTAAATTTTAAAAATATTAAATATCTAAGAATTAACCCTATTTGTCACCATGCAAACCATTTCAGAGCTCTGGCAACTGAATGCCTCGATGAATCCCCTGCAGAACTTCAAGATCGACACTCTGGCGAACCTGTGCCACCTGCAGGTCATCGATCTGACCAAGTCGCAGCTCAGCCAGTGTGGCTGCCAGCAGGTCACCAACCATCTCATGATGCTCGGCGCCAGTCCGAAGTTCGTGCCCGTTTGCATGGGTAAGTGTTGGCGATGGAGGAGCGATGTCGTCGGAGCAGCTGCTAATTTTGGCACATGACCAACTTGCAATTCCATTTTCAGAGGCGCTCGACATCCGCGAATGTCCACTGCCCTACAATCGGACGATCCACTCGGAGACATTCGCCAGTTGCCAGACGACAGTGGAGTTGGCCGAATCGCGCAGCATTTGGCTCTTTGGCGCGGGCTGCTTCGGAGGCGTTTGTATTGTGCTTTTAAGTGAGTTTTTACTGAAATTATTTATGTTATAAATATTTATATTTTTATTTAAACATCCATAGTTCTCATTTTCTGCGTGATACACTGCCGGAGAAAACGCACCCAACGACGAATGCGAAATGTCCAGAGGCGAAAGCCGTTTGTGATCTCGCCCAAAAACGCCATCAACCGTCAACCAGAGGACGAACCTCTGCACTGTGATACTGCCCGAAAATAGCACTTTAGTTAGTTAATTAGTCGCTTAGTTAGTTTTAGTGGCCAGCTATTTATTACCTACCATTAACGCCTTAGTTTAGCCTTAGGACAACTGTCTACCTAGCGAAATGCAGTGAACCATTTACCAAAAATCACCAAAAACTATTAAAACAACGCAAGAGAAATGCCTTGCTCAAATCCACCGCTTATTTACCTGGTTATATAAGTAACATACATTTAGTGGGTCTACAAAAGAATAGACTTTTTATAACGAATGACAATAAAAATTTAATTTAAATACGGGAAAACTACTTTTTTTGATTTTGGAATGGTAACGATTAATATAGTTGGTAAGTCAAAAATATTAGCAAATTGGTATTTAATGTTATCCCATAACTACTTTTTGAAGATGTGATTTCGTATCGATAACGAAATATACGCGAATGTTGACTAGATGAATTAAATTTATTAACCACTAAGCGTTTCTGACCCTATAACGTAATAATATTCTTTAAAAAGATAACTAGGTGAGTCGATCTAGCCATGTCTGTCTATGCGCAGCGTATTTTTATTTCAACAGGATGCCCACCTACTGTGTCGCCCGCAAACGTCCATACGCCCACGCTAAAATCTGTCTAGCGCACACATTTTTGAAGATTTTGTAAAAGTGTGAATGGAATTTGGATTTTATTATTAAATCCAACTCTACCTTCATGACAAAAACGGTCAAAAACAGTCCATCCATTCAAATGGATATAGGTAAATAAAGGAATCGACGCTAGGTGGCGCTGTTTCGGGGTGGGCAATATTGTTGCTGTTTTCATATATCCATCTCCCTCGCACTCCCCTTAGCTGAGTAACGGGTATCCTTAAGGATGCGAGCTAGCCGCCTGAAAGTATGCACAGCTTTTCGCAACGGTTTTAAATACGATGATTTTGTCATTACCACCAAAAAGTATGCAATGATTTTTACGACCTAAGTGTCGTCTGATTTGTGCACTCAACAAAACGCTATTAATTTAATTATTAAATTACAATTCAAATGGGTCGTCTTTATTAAGATAAGCTTGTTTTAATGTAATTATGATTTTTAATTTAATTTGCAAAATTATTAGCAGTTTGTCAACCCTAAAGTTCTCTCAGAACTCTCTTAGTTTTCCACCGCTCTTTGTCTCTCTTACCACCACTGTTCAAAGTTTGCTTTTGATGCGACTTTCGCACCTTTTCTTTTTCGTTCTCTCACTCTCTGCTCTCTCTTTCACGTTTATATTATAGCCGGTCCAGCATTAGCCGGCGAGTGAAGAAGAAGCTGAAATAGAAATGAAATATAAGTAAGCGGAATGCAAAATACTTTTTCTTTGGCGCCTTCCTGCTCACACATACATTCGCATGCGTATATGAAGCCAGAAAGAATGATATAGTGTGGTATTCCTATTTCCAGACTATGAAATACCTATTACTCACTGCCCAGTTTCAAATTACGTTGCCTACTTTGAGGGAAAGATTAGGAAAAGATTATTATTAGAAAAAAACATGATAAGGGGTTATTTTTATAAAATAATATAACATATTGTCTTTGTCATTATTTTGGGGATAGCATTTAATATTTTTTTTTAAATATTTTTTAATGAAATTTTTTTTTTAGTTGTTCACTTCGGCTCAGTTGCTCATGTGTTCAGTGGTTCTGGTTCACTTTGCTCAGCTGTTATACATATGTGCAAACTTTCGGTGTGAAACTATTGCTAGGTGCTACCCTATTTTCCGAATATAATATACCCGTTTTGTTGCACGAGTAGCGGGTACTATAAATCTCCCACCGGCTTTTTCTGTGGCCAACGACGCCGGCCGCGACGTCGACTGCGCTGCCCGTGTCTCTGCATTGGCATTTAGGCATTTATTGCCCACGGCAGGCGAGCAGCCGCTTCAGATTCTCGTCATCGCTCGTGGAAGGCGCACCGCAAACGCCGCTCTCGTTCTCGAATTTAGTGTGAAAGCTCAACCACCCACCGCCCACCGCCCGCCGGAAAAGTCTCGCGAGTGTCCTAAAAATCGAGTTTACCCACAATAAAACCCAGAGTTAACCCATAAAATCCTAACAAAATGAGCAGTAAGTTGGGCCACAACGAAAACCAAAGCCAGAAAAGAAAAGAAAAAAAGAAAAGCAAAAAAAAGAAAAGCTAAGCAAGAAGAGAGTGTGTGTGTGTATGCATGGCTAAAGGCTGGAAACTGAAAACCGAAAATCGGAAGAAAAGCCTGCCCTAAGTTAAAGCTCCTTTGGCGTTTGTTGCCTGCTAATCAACCAACCAATCGTTATACCCTCCCATTTCATAACACTCGCTTCTTCTGGGAGGAGTTATGCAAAATCAAGAAATCAAAATCGAAAACCGAATCAAAATCATGGCGATAATCGCACTATTAAGTATAGTATATATATTTATAAATCGAGCATAGAGCGCGCAACGATGTTTGGCTACGACCTTTACTGACCTTCACTAGCGTTTGCTCGGCCCACAGCCCCTCCCTCTCTCCTGCCTCCTCACCACCCCCCGATTCTCCTCTCCTTCGCTCTACGAAAAAAAACTTAGGGTGTAAAAAATACTACCATTGCATTGGTTACCGCTAGCTGCCTCTGGCATATTTGTTTGTTTATGAAAAGTTTGTGCACAAAACCGCTGATAACGAGAAGCTCACATAACCTTCAAGCGGAGAAAGAGAGGAGAGTGGGAGCTTTGAGTTATGCTGAGAGAACCCCCATTTGTTGTGATTCTACGGGATTACACCGCTTTTGCGCTTTGTACCTGTCGCAATCCGGTGACCCAGTAAGCCCGCGTAGCGCCATTAGCGGCCTTATCATCCCCATTCGCCTTATCAACGGTGTGATTTCCGCATCTGCGGCCCATTGAGATTAGCAGCCCATTAAGGGATGCACTTCGCCTTGGCATTTTCACACGCTGACGTCCGGGGATCGTGTTTGAAGCACCTCCACCTTCGTCTCCCCCATACTTACATATAGTATATTATTCACAATCTATATGCAGTATACCCCATAGATGTTTTTCTATTTTTAAGTCCCGCCTATATGTATGGGTCGGAATTATGGCTGGCGACAGGCACTAACAAGTTTGTGCGTTCGAAAATAATATTATTTTCTGAATTTCGAAAAGTTTTCCACGCCCGAGAACATTCTTTTGTGTCGCATCGCCCACCAAAAAGTGTGGTATCTCTCAGCATTCGCTCTTTCCTTGGAAAATCCATTAAATCTGCACGGATTTATGCCCGCATTAATCATCAACCTACGGCAGCTGCCTTGAATTTTTCCCAGCCCGCAGGGATCTCCAGCATCTCGCGTTTCGGTCACCCGTCCATATCCATACACATCCATGGTGATTCAATTTCTAAAATTGCTGCGTTGCCTGTACCGATCCAATGCATCGCCTACCAGCAGACACAGTCTCATTTCATTTCACTTCACATTGGCGGGGCTATTTTTAGTGGCCTGCTCTTTCGGATACAGAATCGGAATCTACAAGATACACACTGCCTGCTGAGGTTTCCCGCAGAACTTGTTCCGCGCCTTGCACTCGCCAATTTGTGCGTTGGTGTCGCCGACGTTCCCCCGATTTCCTTCTGAAGACCACTCCATTTGGCATATCCCATTATGCATTTCCATCGTACAGTCCAACATGGGTAATACGAACTCCAACAAGTTTAATTTAATTTCGGTTTATTTTAAAGGGTTAAATAACCGGGATAACTTTAAGTTCTTAAGATCGAAAAGAATGTATGGACTAGAAGGAATAATGATATTATTTGATATAAATATTTAATATCCTTCCCAATGATTTTTGTAATTTTTGAAGAACTGATATGAATCTTATACTTATTTATTATATTCAAATTTTAAATCCCGAAACTATGATTCCTAAATATTTAAAATTTAATCTTTAGATCTAATAATTGAAGCCTTTTAAGTTTTTTCCAAGCTTATTTCATGGAATCAATTTTAATCTCTTAAAACTAAGATCATATCTGTGAAAGATTTCGCACTTAGCCAGGTTTGACTGTACTTTGCTTCTTATGCGCCGGCTGCAAATTATCGCGATGCTTCAATGGGGACCCTGACAAACGGGTTTCCGGGAGGGCTCGGGATGTATGTATATGTATTATCTCCCTCAAGGTCTCGGCTCCCTCATTCATCTAATTGGTGACCCCATTCATGGTGGTGTCTGGCGTTAATCTGATCTGGGCCTCATCACGCTCCAACGGGCATTTGCTCAGTCACTTGACCCAGACCCAAAAGCTCGACCCATGACTCCCCGACCTTTTTGCCTACTTGCTTTGGCAGGGCGCTTTATCAGCTTTATTGTGCTCCCGGTATACGCAATTGATAAATGCGGGGTGGATTAGATGAAACCAAGGCGCAAACTCTGCTCAATAAAGAGAGTAACTAAGAGAGACCTTTTGTTTCGAAGAGAGTGTCTTTTTCTCTTTTTACACTGTGAACAACTTTAAGGAATTTTCCCACAATTAGCTGTCACATAAATTGCAAATTTACCTATTTTTAGGTTTACGTGCTAAGCATATTATTAAGGAAAATGTCGCGACGCATTCATTTTGACAATTTCAACAGTTGTTGAAAGGTTATTTTTAGACCGAGTGTTGTTTATTTTATTTTGTTTAAATCGCCAAATTTATGAAGACTGCTGAAAATTCTTTTTTTGATCGTTCTCCCCCATAAGTTTTATTGTTTTGTGAAATATTTTGTCATTTTTGCTCACATCCGGTAAGTCAGAAGTTATTAAGATCCATTCTAGTACCGCAGAAAGTAAATGATTTCATTTTTATTTTAGGCTCAACGAATCATTTCACAAGCACCCACACACGCAAATACAAAAGAAAGCATCTGTGTATCTTTCACCAGCACACACACACAAATAAAAACCACAAGCCGCTCCCACATACATGCACACATTAAAGCATCCGGCGGAGGATAAAGATCGTCCTGATCTCAATCCAAATCAGGATCAATATCAAGATCAAGATCAGCCTAGCGAATGCATTTGAATGCTGCTGATTAGCTCGCTGTGCGGCAGGTATCATCAGTATGCGCATCCGTATCCGTAAATGTGTCCACATCCGTATCCGCATCCGTATCTGAATGCGTAGTCGAGAAGGTAGTTGTTGTAATCCATCTACTTGTTGTATCCTGCGCTTCACAGTTCCTTTTCAGTTCGCTTCTCTAAAACCAAACAACAAAACCAAAACCCATGTATACAGAACTCTAATCAGACACTTAACCCGACTAAAGTTAGCTCAACGAAATGTACCACGAATATCATATATATACACACCTGTATATATAAGTATATATATTCTCAGTAGCATTAATACCCGAATAATAGTGTTCTAAATTCCATTTAATTGTCAATAATCAAAATTGGAAATAAAAAATAATTTTATGTTCTCTCTATTTTAACTCTAATGAATTTTATATATTCAAAACAACAAGATCGCATGGTTTTAACAATTTCTAAACACTACCACGAAAAGGGGACAGAATTTCGAAGAAATTCACTTATAAATTGTGTACCATACAGATTCCATCCTAATCTAGTCCAAACTAAATCCCCATTGAGTAAGAAACGTGCACCGAAAAAAATAAAGCTCATAATCGCCCCATAATCATGTATACGTATCTGTAGGATATGCCAGCGCCATGAATAATTATCTATAGCTTTTGCCCAACTAAATGCCAACAACGCAAAATTCTAATTGCTCGTTTGGACGCGCCTGAAATATGCTCTGCTCGATTTTGCCAATTCTTTATAAGTTTTTTCCTTTTTTTTTTTTGCAATTTTATCTGCGCTAACAAAGCAAATGAATTTGGGATGCATGTGGGCGCCGCTGACGCAGTTGGAGATCTGCACACACCACTTGTACATACATATCTATTCTATTTCGAATGGGGAACCCGAACAATCGCTTGTTTATTTATAAGCCATAACGTTTTTTGCTGAATCCGAAACTAATAAATACAAAAGCGAATTCCCCGCCAGCTGCAGCAGTGAAACGTGCAATGCAACAGTATCTTATTGCTCTGTAACCCAATTTGTATCTCTGACTTTGGTCGTATCTCTGAGATATCTATATCAATATAGCGCTTAATTTGCATCTCTCTTGTCTCCCATCTCTTGCCACAAACAGAGTTCGCTTGGGTGACGCTGACGACAAATGACACGTACTCACTGGGTGCCTTGGTTTTGGCCCACTCCCTGAGGAGGGCCAAGACCGCCCACCAGCTGGCCGTCCTGGTCACGCCCACCGTTTCGCCGGCGATGCGCGACAGACTGAAGGAGGTGTACAACGTGGTGCAGGAGGTCAATGTGCTGGACTCACAGGACGCCGCCAACCTGGCCCTGCTCTCCCGCCCCGAACTGGGCGTGACCTTCACAAAGCTACACTGCTGGCGACTTGTTCAGTTTGAGAAGTGCGTCTTCCTGGATGCGGATACACTGGTAAGATGTAGCTCTATAGTGTAGGCACTATCTCAAATAAATCAGATATACATTCTGGAGGGCACTTTGATCTCATGGAAATACTTATTTGTATGATCCCTCTCGCTTAATGTTTTTTAAACATTTTCGGATGGATCAAAGTACAAACATACAATTAATATAAAAGAAATCATGTTTGGCCTTCTGAAAATATTTATTAAACTTTTGAAAATGTGTTCTTAACTCATATAGTTTGATTCGAACATTTTTCTTTGGATTTAAGTATACACCTTGAGGTAAATAAATAATCACAAACATGTTTTCACTTTGGTAATTACTTTGATATTGTTCAAGGACAAATTCTAATGCGATCTAAAATCATTATAGCGTTTGCAAAGTATTTACATCACAAAGTAGCAATATATATCAACATGAGTGTCTTATAAAACTGACACTACTTCTGAATTATTATCTATAAAAGAACAATTTTCATTGCTTAAATTAGAATAAAATGTAGTCACAGGACAGATAGTTGAAGAAAGTAGCCCATATTAAAAAAGTGATATTTGCTTAATTATTGTGAAATATACCACATAATTTTAAATCAATTTTCCTTTCAATTAAATTTCTGGAATTGTTCTGTAACTATAAAAATTGCAATCATTTAAATTGATTATATTAAGATGGAATTTAATACCTTAAAACATATTAATTTAATATTATGAATATGAGTTATGAATATAACATTATATTAGTTTTTAAATAGTAAACCCATTAGACAAATAATTAAATACATTGTATTCAAATATTTTTATATTATATAAATAATACAATAATTCCTTTTCCATCTCGCAGGTCTTGCAAAACTGCGACGAGCTGTTCGAGCGCGAGGAACTGTCGGCCGCTCCGGATGTCAGCTGGCCGGACTGTTTCAACTCCGGTGTGTTCGTGTTCCGACCCAGCGTGGACACCTTCAGCCAGATCACAGAGTTCGCCGTGAAGAATGGCAGTTTCGATGGCGGCGATCAGGGCCTGCTGAACCAGTTCTTCGGCGACTGGGCGACGGCAGACATCAAGAAGCATTTGCCATTTGTTTACAATGTGACGGCCTATGCCTCGTACTGCTATCTGCCCGCCTTCAAACAGTGAGTACTCAGCTATCTCTACAAGGCGTGGAAAATAGTTTTGTAATACCATTCGGCTTGCAGGTTCAGAGATAAGATTAAGATTTTGCATTTCGCCGGCAAGCTGAAGCCCTGGCTGATTCAGTTCAACTCGGAGACGAAGTTGGCCAGCGTTTCGTCGGACTATGCCCACGCCCAGGATCTGATTCAGCTGTGGTGGAACATCTTCTGCGAAAATGTGATCCAGTCCCTGTCCACCGAAATGGTAAGTGATTTAAGTAGTCTACCTGAAACTCTTGACCCCTTGACGTTTTGCAGCCACTTTGCCCCCGAAATAATCAGACTGAAATCTATTGTCCCCTGTTTTTGAACGCCATACTAAAGCTAACCTAAGAATTTTATTGTCTAACCCAATGTTTTTGCTCCAATTTGCCCCAAAAAAACTCCCTGCCTCGTTTCTTAACTCGCTAACCGCAAGCAAACGCCAGGATATGATAGTGCTAGTGATCGACCCGCGGGAACAATGGCCCAAGGGTCCAGGTCCAGTTCAGAGGTAAGCAGATCTCCAATTGCCGAACCATCTAGCACCAGATCTGTAGAGACCTTGAGCACCCCCGTGTAAATATCTTAATTATAACGCAAATATTTATTTATTTATCCATCTTTCTGTGCGCCAAGTAAATAACCCGAGCAAACAAACTCAGTTTCGATCTATTTGCCATTTGTATCTCGCCAATAGCTGACCTCGTTACAGTTCCATTTCTCGCCTCTTTTCTATCTTTTCACTTTATTCGACCGTTCTTCGAGTTCGTTTTCATTACTTTTTTTGTATCGGCTAGCAATTTTCTGTTGATTTTTCCTCGATTAGCAGCCACGCCCCAGAGTAACCCATTTTTTTTGTTTTTCTGATTTTTTGGCCCCATAGACAGACGTACGGACCGATTCTCAATTGGGTTCCCTTTTAATTTATTTCTTTTGTATTTTTTGTAATATTTGTCCAACTGTGTGTGTCTCATGTGTGTGTGTGTGTGTGTAAGAGTGTTTGTCTTAGTGTTCACTTTCTTTCTGTTTTTTCTAATTTGCATCAATTTGGCCAAGAGCCAGGGAAATGTTTTCGGTTTACGCCATCGATAGATGGAAATGATTCAAATCAAGATGGTCGCTTGGGGGTGATGCCAGAAAATTCAACTGAATCATTAGATATATCCCATAACACAAACACACACACACACTAGCACACATTTGGGGATCTCCTTTTGTTGTTACACAGACAGAAATTTTGAACTCAAATGATCTTATTTCAAATATAAAACAAGGAAGAACGCTATAGTCGAGTACCTCGACTATCAGATACCCGTTACTCAGCTATATGGAGATATGCAAGCAGCAAAGCGAGATTAAAATGCGCCACCTACCGGCGGTATACAGATTTAAGCGTTATGTGCGTTAGAGTGGGCGTGGCAAATTTTTTTTTGGATCAATCGATAGGTATCGACGAGACCAATACATTTCAGTTAAAATTTTTTATCTAGCATGAAAATTGTGGGCGTCACAGGTTTTCGCGGTTTGTGGGCGTTAAAGTGGGCGTGGCAAACTTTTTTTTGGGTCAATCGATAGGTATTGATGAGAACAACACATTTCAGTTAAAATTTTTATTCTAGCATCAAAACTGTAGGAGCCACAGTTTTGGGCGGTTTGTGGGCGTTAGAGTGGGCGTGGCACTGTGCTGAAACAAACTTGCGCTGCGCAGGAATCTCAGGAATCTGCGTGCCTAATCCCAGTATTGTAACTCTCATAGTTTCCGAGATCTCAGCGTTCATACGGACAGACGGACAGACGGACAGACGGACAGACGGACAGACGGACAGACGGACAGACGGACAGACGGACAGACGGACAGACGGACAGACGGACATGGCTAGATCGACTCGGCTAGTGATCCTGATCAAGAATATATATACTTTGTGGGGTCGGAAACGCTTCCTTCTGCCTGTTACATACTTTCCGACGAATCTAGTATACCCTTTTACTCTACGAGTAACGGGTATAAATATGATTTGAATTTGTAATGTTAAAATCAAGTATATCAAGATGTTATTTATGTAAAAAAAATTTTATAGGAATTTTATTTTTGAAAAGATCAAGCTGACCAGCTGAAATTGGCTCTATACCTCCACTCATTTTGTAAATACCACTTTCCCAACTTTTTCCGTTCTGTCCCGTTTGGTTTTTATACCCGTTACTCGTAGAGTAAAAGGGTATACTAGATTCGTCGGAAAGTATGTAACAGGCAGAAGGAAGCGTTTCCGACCCCACAAAGTATATATATTCTTGATCAGGATCACTAGCCGAGTCGATCTAGCCATGTCCGTCTGTCCGTCTGTCCGTCTGTCCGTCTGTCCGTCTGTCCGTCTGTCCGTCTGTCCGTCTGTCCGTCTGTCCGTCTGTCCGTATGAACGCTGAGATCTCGGAAACTATGAGAGTTACAATACTGGGATTAGGCACGCAGATTCCTGAGATTCCTGCGCAGCGCAAGTTTGTTTCAGCACAGTGCCACGCCCACTCTAACGCCCACAAACCGCCCAAAACTGTGGCTCCTACAGTTTTGATGCTAGAATAAAAATTTTAACTGAAATGTGTTGTTCTCATCAATACCTATCGATTGACCCAAAAAAAAGTTTGCCACGCCCACTTTAACGCCCACAAACCGCGAAAACCTGTGACGCCCACAATTTTCATGCTAGATAAAAAATTTTAACTGAAATGTATTGGTCTCGTCGATACCTATCGATTGATCCAAAAAAAAATTTGCCACGCCCACTCTAACGCACATAACGCTTAAATCTGTATACCGCCGGTAGGTGGCGCATTTTAATCTCGCTTTGCTGCTTGCATATCTCCATATAGCTGAGTAACGGGTATCTGATAGTCGAGGTACTCGACTATAGCGTTCTTCCTTGTTTATTTTAGCAAATTGATTTACTTTTCATTTACTTTTATTTTCCAACTCTTGCTCTCCCCTGTTTGCGCATTCTGTAAATTATACTTTGCCATAAAAAATACATGGACTGCCGAATCGCATTTGTCGTGCATATAACTCTGTAAATCTAACATCGTCTCAGTGCCTTTGCCTAAACATAATGCAAACGCAAAGCGAATTCGCGGCGGATGAGCAGCATCAGCGGCAGCAGCATGAGTTCTACCAGCAGCAGAAGCTGCACCACCAACTGTTGCATGTCCGCCAGTTCCGCGATCCTTGGGCAGATTACTATGAGAATCTGGAGAGGGAGCAGCGGGAGCAGGAGCAGCAGCAGCAACAGCGTCACAATCCCAGCCAGAATCACAACCAGGACAATGGGAATGCGGATGCGAATGCAAATGCAAATGAACATGCCACTGAGTGGCATCATGACGATGCATGCCACCCACCTCCGCCGACGACTCCTCCTCCACCCCAAAGCCAAATTCAAATCCAAGCCCACAATGCCACTGCCAATGCCGAAGACTTGCCATCCGTAGATGTGAATAGCAAAGAGCTGAACATTTCACAAACACCTGAATACGCCTCCTCAAACACTGCCACGCCCCCAGCTACGCCCACGCCCTCGCCCACGCCCACGCCCACGCCTCATCATTCCGTGCATAGTCAGACAGTAGAAATTGCGACAAACCACCAACAAGAACATGAAGTTGCAGCCACATCGCCGCCTGAGGTAAAGGCAATCAATCCAAACCCGTCCTGAAAACTACACAGAAAAATATTCCTCATCGAAAGAACAGTTTAAAAAGGTTTCCTCATCAATTCAATATGTTTTTTAAGTCTAAAAACAGTTTCCTTTAAGTGACTTTCTCACAACTAATGCAAAAATAAGTCTTGAGAGATAAATATTGAAGTTATTTGATTTTCCTTACGTTATAGCATATAACAAATAGAGAAATTGGTTTTATTTAAGAATAAACGATGAATATTTGCATTATTTAAAAATTTCAATTTGAAATAAAATATAAATTTTTGGATTTGACTATATTATACAGTTAAAACCGAAACCTCAAAATAATTATAATGTATTCTTATCGGTTAGGAGTCACATAATTTAATATTGTCTTTAAATATCTCTAAAAAAGGAAACTTAAGCGGCAGTCTGCTAGTATCAAAACCGAAATGATATTTTTTCTGTGTAGCAATCCCGACTCCCAACCAACAAAAGCAGCATTGGATAGTGGTGTGCAAGTGTACAAGTGCTAGTGCAAGTGATAGTGATACTGTAATGCCCTGGTTTTCGTCTAGTCACTGTTTTGCATACGAATTGTCATTGTCATCGTCATTGTCCTTCGGTCATCGTTCATTGTTCATGGTCCTTGGTTCATGGTTCATGGTTCAACGTTGTGTTTGTGGCCTGGATAAGGGCATTTGTTGATTTATTATTAGTTGGCCTGGCACCTGGTCAAGCATAAATGTAGATGGACCAGAGAGGGCTCGCTCCCCATTAGGCCAACATCATCATCATCGCCTTGAAACTCACAAACTCAGAAGCTCAGCAGCAGAAGCAGGCACTTCATCCTCGTGTTGCATGTGCCCACCCAAAGCCACCCACTGCACTTCATTCCAACTTTCACATAGTAATCTGCCCCAGAGTTGCAGGGACACGAGTTGCAAACGTAAGCAGCCAGAGCGCAACGCGTCGCATACTTGATTTATGCCCCGAGTAGCACTCTGTTGTCATATTAATCATACGCCCCGCGCACCGTAACTAACATCTCAGTGTTGTTAACCGTTCGTCTGCGCACTGCATAGTGCGTGCTAATAAATGTTTCATTCGTAGTGCATGTAATGTGCTTTAACTCAACACCAAGCCATAGTATTCCTCCCACTTCTCTTTGCCTTGATTAAATAACGCCTTAATCAATTTAATTAACATACTTTCAGGCGGGTCTGGCTGGTGCCCTGTCACAGATTCGCATCGGTGAGCAGCGCACTCCCGAGCAGGAGGCCTACGAGAACCAGATGCGTCGCCAGTGCTGGGAGTCCGGACAGATCGACTACTCCGGCGCCGATTCCTTCGAGAACATCTGGAAGAAGATCTCGCAGACGCTGGAGGGGAAGAGCGACAAGGAATCGGATGAAACTGGTAGCTCATAGATACAAAACCGAAACAAAACAAAAACAAAAACAAAAAAACAAACAAATGCAAATCGTTCGTTATTCGTCGTTTTGTTGCCATTTTTTCTTGTACACGCACACACTCAATCCAACCCAACCCCCTCCCCTAAAAACACACACACACACACAGACCAGTACCCCTACCATCGTAATTCCCTTTTGGGAGGCAGGTGAACTGTTGCCAATGTCATGGAGCCCTTGGTCTAATGGAAATTCGAGGTTCAGGCCAAAAAAGTGTTGTCGAAACGAATTCTTCAGAGTGTCATAAATGCAATTTTTATTTGCCCCCTCCGCCCCCCGCCTCACACATCTGCTTCAAAAGAAAGAGAAAGCAAAGAAATTTTAATTAAGTTTTCAAATTAAACTTTTTGCACTGCTGCTGCTCCTGCTCTCGACATACGTGATGTGATGTGATGTGTGTGCGTGTGGGCGGCACACTTGGCACAGTTGCCCCAATCTCTTACCCCTTCTGCCAAAAGCAATACAAAAAAACACTTGGCCCCCGCCACAAACTTTTACACTTCATTGTATTTTAATTGAAAATTTTGTACTTTCACCCTCTCGTGTGTTTACCGATTTACGAGTAAAGCGATGACTTTTTGGCTCATCTGCACCGAAATACAAATTCATCGTGGCATAAAGTCCATTCCCTGACCTCCTCGCCCCCCTCTGTTACCACCCACATATGTACATATGTTTTTTCTATGAATAAAAACCAAACAAAGAGTGTATACTAACTCTAGAAAAGATAAACGAAAACCATTTAAAATAAAGTAAAAATCAAAAATGAAATTGTAGCCAATATTTTCTGGCTATTGTGTATCTGTCTGTGTGTGTGTGTGAGTGTGTGTGAACTGGCCCGCCCCCTTTTTTACCGCCCACTCTTCGGATCGAATTCGAGCTGAGCGTTAAATGTTTGTTTCAAGTGTTTTGGCAGCCTAACTTTTCTATCTATACATATATACCATTTATGTTATAATTTACATTTTGCAAATATTGTCGTAATATTTATTCGAGAACAACAAGAACAAAGAAACCCCAACAACACAAACAAATTTTCAATTTAAGAAACCCTGTTTATAAATGTGCATTTTTATTTTAGACCTTAAGTTACATAAGTTCTTCTTCTGCCTCGTTTGTCGCCTTTTCAGTTGTGTACTTTTAAGCCATCTTAGACATGGGAAGTCTGAGGTCTTAGAACCATCACGTAGCCATAAGAGACAGCACCAATCACGCACCGCATCTCAGTTATCACCAGCATAACCAGCATCCCCAGCATCCCAGAAACCCAGACGATGTAGCTGAATCGAATTAAAACTACTATCTCGTTACCACTAACCACATTTGCAGATAATGATAACGATAGTGACCCTGCTAACCCACTAAGCTATGCTCAATTGCTAAACGAAACCGCCAGCAAACTGCTGCACCCGCCCCAGAAATCGTTACCTTCGGAGGCGATGAAAGCGACACCGGCTCCTAATAACACAGGGAATGCGAAAGGAGACCGTCTTGACCAGCCACGCCCCTCAACCGCTTCTAACGCTTCAGCCTCCCCAGCCGCCCCCTTGAAACAGAATCCACAGATGCGACAGGAGCAACCGCAATCCCAACCGGAAACGGAAACCAAGCCCGAATCGGACCCGAAACCGAAACCGAGACCACAACCGCAGCCAGCACAGCAGCAGCACATCACCATGCCAACGGGAAGCGGAAACAACAGCAGCGGAAGCGGCGTCTCCAAGAACGGCAAACAGCGGTCCGGCCGCAAGTTCAAATAGCAATTACTGAACCTGCTGATGCACTACAGCTGCCTGCCGCACCTGGCGTGTCGCTGCGGGTCGTCGCACTACCGGCGGCTGCAACTGGAACCCCCTCTGGAAACCGAACCCCAACCCGTTCACGTCTAACCCGACGATTGACAGACAGATCCAAGAAAGTACAAATGCTGTATAAATTGCTTACTTAGGGGCTCTTAGACGAGTACATAAGATTAATAGGGTTGGTAGTTATCATATTCAATTAGAAGTATGCGACTTTTTCGCTAAATGCAACGATTATTATCACACTGAAACACAACCCATTTGAAGACTTTGACTTTAAAGAAATAATATCAATATTAATATATTTATGTGTGTTTCTAATGTTATTCGAAAAATAAGCAATATAATTTTTAATCAAATTTAATAATTACACAAACATTACAGATCGCTTTGAGTCTTCTAAAATTGGTGTCTAAATTAGGTAGTCAATATAACATTTTTTGGAATTTTTGGAAGTCGTCTAAGAGTCACTTGATTTACCCTAATGCCAGGCTGCCTTACCGAGGAAACCCATGCAATATCGTAGATTTAGCTTAGGATAAGACGAAAGCTAATACTAGACTTAAGCCGCAAGTGCTTTGGATAACCCTAGATGCAGACACACACTCGAGAGCTTATACCTTATATACCATATACCATATACTATACACACATCCACACACACCACAGAGCTACTGACCTCCGCGGACATCCAAGATGGTAAGGTTGAGTTCGACAAGGCCACGGGAGCCAGCACCACGTACAAGCTGATCGAGGGTGGCTACGAGGTGATCACCACCACCCCCCAGCCCAATGGAACCGTCAAGACCCAGGTGCGAACCTTCTGGGACCCGAAGCCCGTCAGCGAGGAGGACCTGAAGAAGGAGCAGCAGAACAAGAAGCTGGTCCAGAAGCGTCTGGGCAAGGAGATCCGCATCGATGAGCGTACAACCATGCTGACCCGCGCCATCGAGGGTGGCTACGAGGAGGTGTACACCACCATCAACGAGGACGGAACCCGCAGCATGCGTACCAAGACCTTCTACGACTCGGTTCCCACGGAGGTGGATGAGAACACGGCCGCCAAGCTGAACAAGAACAAGAAGAACGTGACCAGGAAGTCGTCGGTGGAGTCCACCGATTCCACGGAATCCTCCCGCCGCATCGTGCAGAAGCAGCAGAAGAACGTTTTGGATCAGCAATCCAACTCCACCACCACCACATCGGAGCGAAGGGTGTCGGTGACCCAGAACATCGAGATCACCGAGAACAATCGCACCGTGCGCAAGAACTCGCTGCAGGAGCAGAACCTCAAGGCCATCACCTCCACCTCGAACAACTCGCCCAGCGAGAAGAAGCAGAAGAAGAAGAAATCTTCGGCCCCTCCACCACCCGCTGACTTCTTCCAGAACGACACCACCTCTGTGTCCTCGAAGCGAGTTCCCGGCGGAGTGGAGTACACCTACTCTACGGAGCTGGAGTCTGGCAAGACCATCACCACCTCGAAGACTGTCTACGAGGAGGAGGAAGTGGAGCTCACCGAGGAGGAGATCAAGCAGTACAAGAAGACCCTAAAGGATGCTGAGAAGCTGAAGAACGTGACCACCACCAAGAAGCTCAAGTCCGAGTCGGGCACCAAGAAGATCGTGCCCTCCGAGAAACCCGGAGATGTTACCACCGTGGAGACCATCAAGATCGAGGGTGGCACCGAGTACCACTACACCACCGTGACAGCCGAGGGCATTGTGAAGAAGGCCGTGAAAACCGTGTTCGATCCCGTGCCCAGCAACAAGGCCAATCCCGATGACACCGACGAGGAGGAGATCATCGAGGAGTACGAGGAGGAGATCATTGAGCCCGGCGAGAAGAACGTCAAGACCATCGAGACGATCAAGCAGCTGCCCACCAAGTTCGAGGGTGAGCATATTTATACAGTCCTAACCCCGACTAACTCCCAATAACCAACCATTGTTCATTCTTTCGCAGAGGAAGTGACCATCACCCATGAGAGGAAGGAGAAGAAGGTAAAGAAGTCCATGGTCATAAGCCAGTAGAGATCGCCGCACACCCACACTAAAGCACACCCAAACACACACTCGACACTCACACAACACAAGGCACACTAAACACACACAAACAAGCTTAAGAGAAGGCCCGGAGACTGAAGAAAGGCCTTGCGAAGATCCCAAGCTAATTCTCCTGACCTATTTCAGCATCCAGTTCAGTTAGTCGCGGGCGGTCTTTGCACGCTACTCGTTAGCTTTGTTATCAATTACCAGCTGTCTAGTGCCCTAGAAATGTATTACGAGATTATCCAAAATTTATTACAAAGAACTATCTAACATAATTGTATCCTCTTTTGTTAACAAAAATAAAACTCAAGTTTTGGTTCTAATTTATCTTTGTCTTCCTCGGAGAGTCCTTTCCTTTGGAGGAGCTGCAGCGGCAGAGGAGGAATAAAGCAACAATAGGCAGGAGGATGGCAGCCAGAGCAAGGGCCACAATGTCCAGGAGATAAAACTGGTACCAGGGCAGCTCCACGCCCGCTGCCACCAGGTGAGGAGCTCCTCGGTGCTCGATCACATAGTTAATCCAGTACATCGCCGTATCCATGGCACCAAGAGGTCGATCGCGGAATACCCGTGAAGCACGCTTTATGTTATTCCTGTACTTAGGGTTCTCAATTAACTCTAGAAGCAGACCTCGCAACTCTTCCACCGTGACTGTTCGGTAATCCAGGCCCAATGCATATCCCGCTTTTTTTCCTTCATTGATGTTCTTCTGCTGATCGAAGTAGATGGGCATTCCTAGTATTGGTACTCCATTGTATACCGCTTCCTGGGTACCAAAGAGTCCACCGTGGGAAATGAAAACGTTGACATTGGGATGTGCCAAGATGTCGGCCTGAGGCATCCAACTCTGCACTTTTACATTGGCCGGCAGATTGCGAAGAGATTCGTTCTCGAACTTCCAGAGAATTCGCTGCCTCAGACTACGAAAGACATCCAGGAATATTTTCAGTTTTTCGGGCGGGAGATCGGCACTGCGTAGTTTTGAGCCTATTCGAACATGTTTTATAAAATACGTTTTCAAATTGAACTTTCAAGTAAAAGAACACTCACCTAAGCTGAAATAAATAGCTCCATGGGTGGCTTCATCCAAGAAATTTTGGAGATGGTCCGGCAACGACTTAGGTGGCTGAATATGCAGTCCGCCAACGGGTATCATATTATAAGTCATGGGTCTTACTGAACCCAAAGGCATGTAGGTGTTCAACAGAATTGCTGAGATATTCCGCTCCAGTTCCTTTATAGTCGGAACTCTATCCAGCAGTTTGGAGAAGTGTTTCTTTAAGACGGCATCCTGCCCGGGATAGTAGGAGAACTCCCTGGTGAGATCCTCGGCGCCACTGATTGCTACATTTCCAATCCGCTCCCACAGCGACATTCGATCTGTATACTCCATATAGACATGTGGGACATACGACCACGGGGAGACTATTCCGAAAAGCTGGCTGAGGTAGTTGGCATTACCAAAAGTCGAAACTGTTATGATGGGGATTTGGTAGAGGTGTCCTAGGATGAGGGCTCCCTCGTTGAAAAACTGCTCCGCCAGCAACAGATCGTACCTGCCGACCTTATCCTTTTGATTGATAAAGGCCTGAATTTCCGGTTGCTCGAATGCAAAATCCGTGCTGTGGATGCCCATCACATTGGAAACCCGGAGGAATGTGAAAGTAGACAAATCTGTCATTTCCAGAGGTGTATTTACGTTGGTCAATTCCTGAACTGAGAAATAGCAATAAATTTTGTGCGATTAAGGCATTGAAGTTAAGTTCCGATCTTGCTTTACATTTAGTTAGTCACCCGAACAGGCATTTAAATAGGGCAACAACGTTTATACACTTTAAACATTTTTGCTATACAAAAAATGTTCATATTCATATTTTTTTGACCGGTGGAAATTGATTTAGAGGTTTTACTTACTTTCTGGCCAGAAATCGTATTTTGGGATCACTATTTCGGTGTAGTTCGACCCAAGATTTTCCTTGGCCATGGAGAACGGGGTGATGAATGTAACCTCGTGTCCTTGCTGAACCAGCTCCCTGATGATGGCATTGGTCATCATGAAGTGGCTCCTCCCAGGAAAAAAAAAGGCTGCCAGGATCCGGGAACTAGCACCCAAGTCCAGTTGCTGAAGAGCCACCAGACCGAAGAGAAAGATGTGCAAAGCACTTTCCAAATGCTGTAATAAAATTACGTGTACTTCTGAACAGTAACATTTTCTTAAACCCTTAATTATTATACTAGATCCAACTTTTTAGTTTATACTAGATTTAGTTTACGGCAATTCTTTAACAGATTTAAAATTAATTTTCCTCGAAATTGGCCAGTACTTTAAATCATTATTGAACATGACTTATAAGTTTAATTTTTATAAATTGAAAATAAGAAGCATTTGAACCATTTTGAAAGGAAAAGTGAAAATTTAACTTAATTTTTACTTTACATGTTTTAAAAAACTAATTTGAACAGACTTACAAGTCATTGTAAAACACATTTCTTATCTTACTTGTATTTTCTCTTTGGAAGCTATTCGGTCAGTTCTTTAACCTATATTTTAATATCGGTGCCGGTACCCAATGCTTCCTAGGATTTTATATATTTTATCACAAACCATTTTAACTCCTCTTTTTGTTCTACGATTCGAACAATAAGCCACCGACTCGGTGGACGACCCTCACGAGACTGCGGATGGGTAGATAGATCGCTCTTATAAGGAAAATAAATTCATATGCATGTTTATGGTCCTTTTAAGATGGTTAAAAGCTCCGAACTGCTTGAGGCACGTCAGCAACATGTGTAGATTAAAGTTCGCAAGATTTTAGGTAATCATCGTTAGGCTGGTTTTATAAGCATGATAGTTATGCCTTAAAATTGTTGTTAAAAATAGAATGATATGGGCGGAACATATTGATAGCAGGATACTTGGGGCTAACTGGGGATATTTTAATAACCGTTACTCGTAGAGTAAATGGTTTACCTATAGAAGCGTTTCCGACCCTAAGAAGTATATTTATTCTTGATCAAGATCATTAGCCGAGTGGATCTAGCCATGTCCGTCTGTCTACCCGTTCCTTTAAAAGCTAATATCTCGGAAACTGTTAAAGGTAGAAATTTGGTATCTGGCATCCAGATCCTTGATGTTCTGGGGCAGCGCATGTTTATTTCAGCAGGATATTACGTCCACAAGCGAACATTCCATCCATTAAAAAGTTATAGGCAAGTAAAAAAAATGACGCTAGGTGTCGCTGGGTGTGCAATCTTGGGAACAGTCGCTTTGCTTCTTGCATATCTCCATAGTCTTCATATCTGATAGTCGAGGCCGTCGACTAAAGCTTTCCCTCTGGCCTATATCTTATATTTACATTATTTAAGTCGTAAAATCAGTAAGGGTATTAAAAGTTTGGCCTGCCGAAACTAACTTTCCTTCTTGTTATAAAAGACAGACTATGTATAAAATAAAGATGAGGAAATTCTTAACAACTAAGCCTCTTCTCGAGATAAGGATGATAAAGATCAGACATTCAAACAGTATTGTAAAATAAGTGATTATGGTATTGTGATTAAATTGCCAAATTATGTTCTTACGCTTTTAAACACGTTACAGTGTCTTCGGTAATGCTTTCTAGCTTTTATTGGTCATAATTACAAATATGTATACATTGTTGGGTCGAAAAAAATTTTGTACTTGTTACATACTTTCCGACGAATACAATATAGCCTTTAACTATACTGTATACGTAAGTTTGAATCAATAAAATACTTCCTACCATTTAAGCAGCCACTTTAGTTAAATTTTTATTAAAATAATACATAATTTTTTACGAAAACTATTTTACACAATTTTATCTTTTTTTGTTAATAATAATAAATCTCAAGTTTTTGGTTTTGGTTTTAATTCTTCTTGGACTTCTTCCTCGGAACGTTCTTTCCTTTGGAGGAGCTGCTGCGGCATATAAGGATTAGAGCAACAAAAGGCAGGAGGATGGCAGCCAGAACAAGGGCCACAATGTCCAGGAGGTAGAACTGGTACCAGGGCAGCTCCACGCCCGCTGCCACCAGGTGAGGAGCTCCTCGGTGCTCGATCACATAGTTAATCCAGTACATGGCCGTATCCATGGCTCCAAGAGGTCGATCGCGGAATACCCGCGAAGCCCGCTTTATGTTATTTCTGTACTTGGGATTCTCAATTAACTCTAGAAGCAGACCTCGCAACTCTTCAGCCGTGACTGTTCGGTAATCCAACCCCAAAGCATATCCCGCATTCTTTCCTTGATTAATATTTTGATGCTGATCGCAATAGACGGGCATTCCGAGTATTGGTACTCCATTGTATACAGCTTCCTGGGTACCAAAGAGTCCGCCGTGGGCAATAAAAACCTTGACATTGGGATGCGCCAAGATGTCGGCCTGAGGCATCCAACTCTGCACTTTTACATTGGCCGGCAGATTGGGAAGAGTTTCATCCTCGAACTTCCATAGAACGCGCTGTTTCAGACTGCCAAATACGTCCAGGAATATCTTAAGTTTTTCTGGTGGGAGATCAGCACTGCGTACTTGGGACCCTATACGAAAATGTTTTATAGAAAAAGTTCTGAAATTGAATTTTTATGTAAAGGGACACTTACCCAAGCTGAAATAAATAGCTCCATGGTTAGCTTCATCCAGGAACTTTTGAATGTGCTCCGGCAACGCCTTGGGTGGCTGAATATGAAGTCCACCCACGGGAATCATATTATAAGACATGGGTCTTGCCGAAGCCAAAGGCATGTAGGTGTTTAACAGAATGGCTGAGATATTCCGCTCCAGTTCCTTTATGGTCGGAACTCTATCCAGCAATTTGGAAAAGTGTTTCTTTAAGACGGCATCCTGCCCGGGATAGTAGGAGAACTCCCTCGTGAGATCCTCGGCGGCATTGATGGCGACATTTGAAATCCGCTCCCACAGCGACATTCGATCTGTATACGGCATATAGGCGTGTGGGACATACGACCACGGGGAGACTATTCCGAACAGTTGGCTGAGGTAGTTGGCATTACCAAAAGTCGAAACTGTTATGATGGGGATCTGGTAGAGGTGTCCTAGGATGAGGGCTCCCTCGTTGAAAAACTGCTCCGCCAGCAGCAAGTCGTACTTGCCGACCTTATTTTTCTCATTGATTACGGCCTGAATTTCGGGCTGCTCGAATGCAAAATCAGTGCTGTGCACACCCATCACATTGACCATCCTGAGGAAGGAGAAATTTGGCAAATCTGTCATTTCCAGAACGGTGTCTCTTTTGGTCATCTCCTTAACTGAGAAATATCAATATAAATTATGCGTAAAATTTATAAGCGGTTTTTCTTACTTTCTGGCCAAAAATCGTATTGTGGAATAACTATTTCCCTGTAGTTCGATCCAAGCTTTTCCTTGGCTAAGGAGAACGGAGTGATGAATGTAACTTCATGTCCTTGTTTGACCAGCTCCCTGATGATGGCATTGGTCATCATGAAGTGGCTCTTCCCAGGGAAAAAGAAGGCTGCCAGGATGCGGGAACTAGCACCCAAGTCCAGTTGCTGAAGAGCCACCACGCTCAAGAGAAAGGTGTGGAAAGCACTTCTCAATTGCTGTAAAGCAATAATGTAGGTTATTAATGTATGCCACTGATCGTTTACATTTTCTTATCAACCAGCCCTTCATTTGAGGGCTTGACTTTCTCGTATCACATAATATAAGCTGATAATAGGTGTAGGTTTATTTTCTTAAAGCTTATCAGTAAGTTTCTTAACCTCTAAGTAAATTTCAGTGCCAGAAGCAAAAAGCTTCCAAAGCTTGCAGATAGTAAATTAATTTTTTTACAAAACGTCAACAAACCATTTTGATTCCGCTTGTTGTGTTCTACGGAGGGAACAATCAGCAACCGACTCAGTGGGCGACTCCCAAACGACTGCGAATGGGTACTGATAGATCGTTTAGTGTGGGTTCGAAGGTAGATCGCTCTTATAAGTAGCAAGAGTATGTTTGTAAATGGTGTCATTGAGATTAGCAAAAGTTTAGATCTGCGTGGGGTTTGTGCAAAAAATAGAGGGAACTGATTGTCGTGCAAAGGCGCCATGGCAAAGTAATCTATTGGGGCTCACAAAATTCTATGTAATCATGATAATGTTAATTTGTAACTAAAATTTTATTGGTGTATGCCTATATTATATATATATTATATATTTGAATTTATATTGATGTACGTATGAAATTCGCACCAATTCAGGGCTTGGCGATTTCAATGCCACACCCGATAGATTTATCAATGTTTGTTTTTTTCAAGTAGCCTTTTTTTAATTAATAAGAACTATGAATACTACACCGAAAGATCAGAAATAGTACATTTTATTAAATACAAAATGTGTTTTAAATCGTTTTTATTATAAAATGAATTACCGTAATTCTTTTCAGAACTCAGTTCAGTTCAGTATTACCAATGCTCTACAGTTTTACTTTAACATTATACAACATTTAGTATAAATGTACTTATACATAACATAATTGTATCCTCTTCATTTAAAAGAAACAAAGCTTTTTCGTTTTTTGCCAAGTCTACTTGGCCTCCTTCTTGGTAGGGTTTTTTGATTTATAAGAGCTGCGGCGGCAGATCAGGACTACGGCTATAATTGACAGGATTATGAGAGCGAAAGCAAGGGCCACAATGTCTAGAAGGTAGAACTGGTACCAGGGCAGCTCCACGCCAGCTGCCACCAGGTGAGGAGCTCCCCTGTGCTCGATCACATAGTTTATCCAGTACATCGCTGTATCCATTGCCTTAAGTGGCCTATCACGGAACACCCTTGAAGCTTGTCTTATTTTATTACTATACTTGGGGTTTTCGATCAGCTCAAGCAGTGATTTCCGTAGCTCATCTGCTGTTAGTGTTCGGAAATCCAGTCTCAACGCATATCCGGCCTTTTCGGCTTGATAAATGTTTAGATGCTGATCACAATAGACCGGTAATCCTAGAATTGGTACTCCATTGAACACTGCTTCCTGGGTGCCAAAGAGTCCGCCGTGGGCAATGAAAACCTTGACATTGGGATGCGCCAGGATGTCGGCCTGAGGCAGCCAACTCTGAACCTTCACATTTGCCGGCAGATTGGGAAGCGTTTCATTTTCGAATTTCCAAAGAACACGCTGTTTCAGACTGCCAAATACGTCTAGGAATATCTTAAGCTTTTCGGGAGGCATATCCGCGCTGCGCACCTGGGAGCCTAGAAAAGACATAATTAAATCATATTCATTGTCCTCTATGCTTGAAAGATTTAATTTTACAAACCAAAGCTGAAATAAATAGCTCCATGGGTAGCCTGGTCCAGGAATTTCTGCAGGTTCCCCGGCAGATCCTTGGGCGGTTGAATGTGCAGTCCGCCCACTAAAATCATATTGAAGGAAATTGGTCTGGGCGATATCAGTGGCATATAGTTGTTCAGCAGGATTGCTGAAATGTTACGCTCCAATTCTTTGACAGTGGGAACTCTATTAAGCAAGCGTGAGAAGTGTTTAGTTAGAATGGCATTCTGCTTCGGATAGTAGGAGAACTCCCTGATGAGATCCTCGGCACCACTGATGGCCACATTTCCAATTCGCTCCCATAGAGACATGCGGTCCGAATAGGGCATAAAGCCATGTGGAACATAGGACCACGGAGAGACGATGCCAACCAGTTGGCTAAAGAAGTTTGAAAAGCCTAGGGTCGAAATAGTTATGATGGGGATCTGGAACAGGTGTCCCAAGATAAGGGCACCCTCGTTGTAGAACTGTGGTGCCAGCAGCAGATCGTACTTCCCAACTTTATCCTTGATATTGATAATGGCTTGAACTTCCGGCTGATCGAACGCAAAGTCTGTGCTGCGAATACCCATCATATTGACCAGCTGGATGAGGGTCAAACTCGATATATCAGTCATTTCTAGTACGCTGTTGGTGCTCGTTATCTTCTTAGCTAAGAGAAGGAAATAGTTTCATATATTTAGTTTACTTGCCACTTCACTTACCTTCTGGCCAGAAATCGTACTTTGGTATCACTATTTCTGAGTAGTTCGGACCAAGCCTTTCCTTTACCATCGAGAACGGGGTGATAAATGTAACTTCGTGTCCTTGTTTTACCAGCTCCCTGATTATGGCATTGGTCATCATAAAGTGGCTTTTCCCAGGGAAAAAAAAGGCTGCGAGGATGCGGGAAATTGCACCCAAGTCTAGTTGCTGAAGAGCCACGATGCTCAAGAAAAAAAAAAAAAAAAAATTCTGTAAAAAAGAATGCGTATTTTTTAATGATACAGTTTTGTAAATAATAAATAATAAATTGTAAACTAAATAAAATATAAACAAAATAAGTTATTGTCTTTATGTTGAACATAAAATCCCAGTCGAAATAAAAAAAAAAAAAAAATAAAAAATGTCATTTTTGAACGACAGAAAATTAAGTTTACCCAAAGGTAATTTAATAACTAATCATACGCGGTTAGTATCGTTTTTATAGCTTGTATTCTTTTAAGCCGTACTCGCCAGCTTGAAAAAGGGTCAAAGGTATATTCTCCTTCGCAGATTTTCTGTCAGTTTTTTAACCTCTATCTTGATTACGGTGCTTGTAACACAATGTAAATTGTTACGTCACTTTATATTATAATAATATTTAATATTAGTTTTTGAATACATTTTTTGGACACTTTGTTAAGGGGTGAGATAAAGATTTTTTTGGGCCACCGTTATGTACATACGTGGCCTAGATTACCGTATGGATTTCATAATTTACTAGGTTGCCTAGATTACCGTATGGATTTCATAATTTACTAGGTTGCAAGCCTGGAGATCTCGTGTTATTTTTATTTTTTTGTTAAAACCACTCTTAGTGAAATTTTCTTCTGAGCGTATTTCTAGCTTGTAATCTATTATTATTTTTAATGATTGCATTTAACAGACCATTTTTGGTTGTTTTCTACGGAAAGGACAGTCAAAACCGACTCTACCGACGACTTTAAAGCGACTGGGAATGGGGGCTGATACGTCGTTTTTACATATGTAGTAGGTGATTCTATTGTTTATGAAACGATCGACACCTTACTGGCAAACGGGTATATTAGAAAGTATGAAACAGGTAGAAGGAGGCGTGTCCGCATATGTATATTCTTGATTAGGATCACTAGTCGAGTATTTCTAGCCACGGTCGTCTGTACGTCTATCTGTCTGTCTATCTGTCCGTCCAAATGAACGCTGAGGTCTCCGAAACTGTGAAAACTAGAAAGTTGGGATTATACATTTTCTTTCAGCGGAGTGCCACGCCTACTCTAACGTCCACAAACGCCCACAATGAATGTGAATGTTTTATATCAGTGAAAAATAAAATTTGTTTTAAATTTAAATTAATCTTAAAATAGATTAAGTGGTATCTGATAGCCTCGACTGTTGGGTATCTTATTGCTTTTTATCAAAAGATGTCAATATAGCGAAAGCTCAACGAACTACCTACTTTAAATGGGAACCGGTTGTTTGATCTATGGTAAGTATATCAGAGCACGAAGAGAAGAATCTTTTTTTATACCCTTGCAGAGGGTATTATGATTTTAGTCAAAAGTTTGCAACGCAGTGAAGGAGACGTTTCCGTCCGCATAATGTATATGTATTCTTGAACAGCATCCCTAGACGAGTCGATCTAGCCATGCCCGTTTGTCCGTCCGTTTCTATGCAAACCAGTCTCTGAGTTTCAAAGCTATCGTGCTGAATCTTTCCCAAAAGTCGTCTTTCTATAAGTCGGAACCAGCCGGATCGGAAAACTATATTTTATAGCTCCCAAAGGAAATAGCATTTTTTAATGAGTTCTCAATTCCGACTTTAATTTTTTTCGGACTACTATATCATATTGCTGCTTTAGGAACAATCGGAAAATTGGTGGGAAATTAATGTGAAACATATTAACACACATTAATATGAGACATATTATCTTATACATATTATTGGGAATATAATTTTTTGTATTTTTAAGAATTTCGAATTAAATTAATAAGGGGTATACAAACTTCGGCTTGCCGAACTTCCTTTCGTGTTTTTAATATCACTGAAGCTAGCAACAATACTTAAAATTTTAACATGGTGTTACTAACATTGATTTTTTCTTATAACTGCAAGGGTATACAAACTTCGGCTTGCCGAGATTAATTTCCTTCTTGGTTTTGTACTCAAATAAGACACCGATTGATAGCATATGAAATATGTTTCTTTAAAACTAGTTTTGATATGGAACGTTCTCTAGGTACTATGTATAAACCCAATTTAATTAGCACATTAGAACCTTGCATGCAAAGACCATGTTATGGAATACTCAAAATGCTAACCTTTTTGTGATCTTTAATTAAGTGATTTTTCGCAATTTACATATTTTTAACCATATTTTTTAAAAGTGTAATGCTTTATAAGATTCACCCTACATTTGACCAGATTAATTGTTTTAAATATAATTATACCCGTAACTCGTAGAGTAAAAGGGTATACTAGATTCGTCGGAAAGTATGTAGCATGCAGAAGGAAGCGTTTCCGACCCCATAGAGTGTATATGTTCTTGAACAGCAACAAAAGTTTGCCACGCCCACTTTAACGCGCACAAACCGCACACAAACTTCAAAAAATCTTTAATCGGAAACTATCAAAGATAGAGAATTGGGATTTCAGATTTAGATTCCGTAGTCTTGTACGCAGCGCTAGTTTGTTACGCTAATATGCCACGCCCACTCCACCGCCCAAGCCTGTGGCGCCCACCATTTTCATGCTAGATTAAAAATTTTTACTTAAATGTAATGGTCTCGTCAATACCTATCGATTGTTACAAAAAAAAAATTTTGACACGCCCATTCTAACGCTCATAACGCTTAAATTTGTCTACCGCCGGTAGGTGGCGCATTTCAATCTCGCTTTGCTGCTTGCATATCTCCATTTCCCTTTGGTCCCTTTAGCTGAGTAACGAGTAACGAGGTACTCGACTATAGCGTTCTTCCTTGTTTTCTTATTTAAATTTAACCTTGTTCGTTCTATAAACACACGAGCGATTTGTAGCAGGCTTCTTCGTAGATTTGTTATATTCTTGATCTATTTATTTACTCTTTATAACGCAAATGAAGTGGTTTAACTGTGAATACATTTTATTTACGATGCTTTCAAATGTTTTATTTTGCAAATCAAATTTCTAAAATGTTTGCTTAAATTCAAGAATACTAATTTTTTTTCACCTTCCTGTGCTTTTTATTGCTGCCCATTAGCAATCTAATGGCTAACAAGAGAGCCAGTATTCCCGCCAAGACAATGGCGGCCACGAAAGCTATCACATCGAGCAGATAGAATTGGAACCAGTTAAGATCCAGGCCTGCGGAACGCATGTGCGGTGCACCACGATGCCGGATGACATATTCGATCCAATAGACGGCAGTTTTGCGCGGCTCCAGCGGTCGATCGCGAAAAATGTCCGAGACCCTTTGCACGTTCTTCTTATAGGTGGCATTATGGATGAGTTGAAGCAGGGAGTGTCGCAGGACTTCTTCGGTAATCGACTGGAAGTGCAAGCTAATGGCGTATCCACCCAAAACGGCCTTGTTCACATTTAGGTGCTATAATAAAAACAAAACAAAGTAACGCTATGAATTGGGATTTATCTACCAGTACCTGGTCCGAGAAGATGGGAATGCCTAGCATTGGAACAGCATAATGCACTCCCTCCTGTGTACCAAACAATCCGCCGTGGGTGATGAAAGCCTTCACGTTGCGATGGGCAAGAATATCCGCCTGTGGCAGCCACTTCCTCACCATCACATTTTCCGGCAGCTGGCGAATACTCTCGTCCTCGAATTTCCACAGTACCCGCTGTTTGAGGGAGCCGAATACCTGCAGGAACAGTCGCAGCATCTCCGCGGGCATATCCTTGCTCTGGACATTGCTGCCCAAGCTGAAGAAGATGGCGCCCTCGGTGGCCCCGTCCAGGAAGACCTGTATGTCAGCCGGAAGAGCTTTGGGCGGATAGATGTGCATGCCACCCACCGACACCATGGCATCCACGGTGGGACGTGCCGTGGTCAGCGGTGCGTGACTGTTGAGCAGCATCACTGAGATTTCCTGTTCCATGTGCTTGACCTTTGGCACTTCACCTGGAATACACTCAACTTAGGGGGCTTTCCCGAAAAAGCATCCTCAACTTACCCAAAATAGGGCCAAAAAACTCCCTGGCCACCGCATCCATTTTTGGGAAATAGTTGAGCAGCCTATTCATATCTTCATAGAACGACACATATGAGTTCTGCACACGTTCTAGGAAACTCATGCGATCTGTGAAGGGCATAAAGCCGTGAGGCACAAAAGACCAAGGGGTTATCAGGCCCATCATCTGGCTCATGTGGTTCTCATAGTCCAATGTACTAGTGGTCACCACGGGTATTTTGTAGACGTGAGCAAGGGCCAAGAAGGCCTCTTGGTAGAACTGCTCCGCCAGTAGAAGATCGAAGACTCCGTCCGTCTGCTTGGCATTGATAAGGGCCTGAACCTTGGGCTGTCGTAGAGCATGTTCCGTGGTTTTCACCCCGATAATCTCCAGCATTTTTAGAGTATCATAGATGGTCATGCGGGTCAGCTCGAATAAGTGCTGGGCTCCAAGGTTCAGCTTAACTGGCGGTTTCAAACGATGGCGATGATTGAAGATTCGGTAGGCTTTTCAGAAATACACCCCACTCACCGTCGTGCCAGTAATCATAGACCGGTTCTATCAAGATCTCCGTGTAGTTGCTGCCAAGATCCTCTTTCTCCAAAGATATGGCAGTAATCATGGTCACCTGATGACCACTTTCGACAAGTTCCTTAATCAAAGCATTGGTCATCATATAATGGGACTTGCCTTATCGAAAATATATAGCATCGGTATCAGAATATATACATGTTGATTTGTAAATAATTTACCTGGATAGGAATACACAGCTAGTATTTTATATCCATCAACCGGTTCTAGCTGGGAATACAAATTTCCAGCCAGGAAGAGGTAAAATAACACTGCAAATTGCATCTTTGCAACTCAAAATAAAATTCTGAAGAGGTTTATTTTTTATATTTTTGTTGACTAGTTTTTTGCACGGTCCGTTACGGATGAGATTCTGACTTCAACTACCATGCTCTACCCAGAACCAGACCCGAAAAGCTAGCTTAGCTGGGGTTGGAACTGCTAACTCGGCTTTAAGTTCATGTTTATATCGCAAACAATTAAAATTAGATTACTAAAACAAATAAATCAAAATCGTATTGTAAGTAAGTGGGCCGTTCGTCAATTGATATTGGCTCGTTGTTAAATATTTTAAATAGATTAGATGTAGATTATCTTCTTGTTTTTACTCAAAAGATGTCAATATAGCGAAAGCTCAACGAACTACCTACTTTAAATGGCAACCGGTAGTTCGATCTATGGCAAGTATATCAAAGCAGAAAGAGAAGAATCTTTATTTATACCCTTGCAGAGGCTATTATGATTTCAGTCAAAAGTTTGCAACGCAGTGAAGGAGACGTTTCCGACCCCATAAAGTATATATCTTCTTGATCAGCATCACTAAACGAGTCGATCTGTTCGTCCGTTTCTACGCAAACTAGTCTCTTAGTTTTAAAGCTATCGGGCTGAAACTTTCCTAAGAGTTTTCTTTCTTTTGCAGGTAGTATATAAGTCGGAACCAGCCGGACTGGACGACTATATCTTATAGCTCCCATAGGAATAATCGGAAAAGAAATTTTAAAGAAAATTTACTTTGGTGTTTTTCAACATATAAACTCCCACGCTTTGAAATACAATTTTTTATGCTTTCAAATGTTTTATTTTGCAAATCAAATTTCTAAAATGTTTGCTTAAACTCACGAATACTAATTTTTTTTCACCTTCCTGTGCTTTTTGTTGCTGCCCATTAGCAATCTAATGGCTAACGAGAGAGCCAGTATTCCTGCCAAGACAATGGCGGCCACAAAGGCTATCACATCGAGCAGATAGAATTGGAACCAGTTGAGATCCAGGCCTGCGGATCGCAGGTGCGGTGCACCCCGATGCCGGATGACATATTCGATCCAATAGACGGCAGTTTTGCGCGGCTCCAGCGGTCGATCGCGAAAAATGTCCGAGACCCTCTGTACGTTCTCCTTATAGGTGGCATTATGGATGAGTTGAAGCAGGGAGTGTCGCAGGACTTCTTCGGTAATCGACTGGAAGTGCAGGCTAATGGCGTATCCACCCAAAACGGCCTTGTTCATATTAAGGTGCTAAAATAAAATCAAAACTAGGTAACGCGATGAATTGGGATTTATCTGCAAGTACCTGGTCGCAGTAGAAGGGAATGCCCAGCATTGGAACAGCATAATGCACTCCCTCCTGGGTGCCAAACAATCCGCCGTGGGTGATGAAAACCTTCACGTTGCGATGGGCCAGAATATCCGCCTGTGGCAGCCACTTCCTCACCATCACATTTTCCGGCAACTGGCGAATACTCTCGTCCTCGAATTTCCACAGTACCCGCTGTTTGAGGGAGCCGAATACCTGCAGGAACAGTCGCAGCATCTCCGCGGGCATATCCTTGCTTTGGACATTGCTGCCCAAGCTGAAGAAGATGGCGCCCTCGGTGGCCCCGTCCAGGAAGACCTGTATGTCAGCCGGAAGAGCTTTGGGCGGATAGATGTGCATGCCACCCACCGACACCATGGCATCCACGGTGGGACGTGCCGTGGTCAGCGGTGCGTGACTGTTGAGCAGCATCACTGAGATTTCCCGTTCCATGTGCTTGACCATTGGCACCTCACCTGGAATACACTCAACTTAGGTGGCTTTCCCAAAAAGTGTTCTCCTCAACTCACCCAGAACAGGGCCAAAAAATTTTTGGGAAATAGTTGAGGAGCCTATTCATATCTTCATAGAAGGACACATAGGAGTTCTGCACACGTTCTAGGAAACTCATGCGATCGGTGAAGGGCATAAAGCCGTGAGGCACAAAAGACCAAGGGGTTATCAGGCCCATCATCTGGCTCATGTGGTTCTCATAGTCCAATGTACCAGTGGTCACCACGGGTATTTTGTAGACGTGAGCCAGGGCCAAGAAGGCTTCCTGATAGAACTGCTCCGTCAGTAGAAGATCAAAGACTCCGTCCGTTTTCTTGGCATTGATGAGGGCCTGAACCTTGGGCTGTCGTAGAGCATGTTCCGTGGTTTTCAGCCCGATAATCTCCAGCATTTTTAGGAAATCATAGATGGTCATGCGGGTCAGCTCGAATAAGTGCTGGGCTCCAAAGTTCAGCTTAACTGGTGGTTTCAAACAATGGCGATGATTAATGATTCGGTGGGTCTATCATAAATACACCACACTCACCGTCGTGCCAGAAATCATAGACCGGTTCTATCAAGATCTCCGTGTAGTTGCTGCCAAGTTCCTCTTTCTCCAAAGATATGGCAGTAATTATGGTCACATGATGACCACTTTCCACGAGTTCCCTCATCAAAGCTTTGTGCATCATAAAATGGGACTTGCCTTATCCAAAATACATAGCATCGGTATCAGAATATATACATGTTGATTTTCAAATACTTTACCTGGAAAGGAATACACAGCCAGTATATTATATCCCTCAACCAGTTCTAGCTGGGAATACAAATTTCCAGCCAGGAAGAGGTAAAATAACACTACAAACTGCATCTTTGCAACTCAAATTAAAATTCTGAAGAGGTTTATTTTTTATATTTTTGCTGACTAGTTTTTTGCACGGTCCGTCACGTATGAGATTCTGACATCAACTTCCGTGTTCTAGCCAGAACCAGACCCAAAAAGCTAGCTTATCTGGGATTGGAACTGCTAACTCGGCTCAAAGTTCATGTTTAAATTGTAAACAATTAATATTAGATTACTGAAACGAATAAATCAAAATCGTATTCCAAGTAAGTGGGCCGGTCGTCAATTGATAATGGCTCGTTGTTAAATAATGATTGCAAACATGTGTGAAACACAAATTGTTTACTTTTGATAAGGTTACGTAATCAGTCGCAGATACAAAGAGGCAATTTAATTGATGCTCGCGTGCCGGAAAAGCTTTTCACTTGCTTGGAGGAGAATTGAAAGATGCACATACTTGAACCTCTGAATGAATACTGAACTTGAGCTGTAGTTTGATCATAACTTTAAATGCGTCGCGGATCTACGAAATGTATATGAGATTCGGCTAGAGATATTCCATTCAAATCCCGAGCAGTAATAAAGCACCATGTTTACGTAAGCTTTCTTAATTGATTTATTTTCATTTTTCAAATGTTTTTGCATTATAATGTGTATGTCGGTTTTTTCTTTAAGCATGCAGATTCTAGGGCTTCCTGCGCACCGCAATTTTTTTATGGGAGTGCCACACGTTCTCTGACTGTGTGGTATTGGATATTTTATAAAGGTTTATTACCCAAAATTGGTTCAAATTAAACCACTAATTAAAAAGATGTATTCAATAGAAAATAAATAAACGCTAGGTGGCGTGGTGTGCAATCTTGGAAACGGTCGCTGTGCTTCCTTCAGCTGAGTAATGGGTATCTGTAAGTCGTGTTGTTTAAATGCGACAAATTTTCTTTTTATACCCGTTACTCGTAGAGTAAAAGGGTATACTAGATTCGTCGGAAAGTATGTAACAGGCAGAAGGAAGCGTTTCCGACCCCACAAAGTATATATATTCTTGATCAGGATCACTAGCCGAGTCGATCTAGCCATGTCCGTCTGTCCGTCTGTCCGTCTGTCCGTCTGTCCGTCTGTCCGTCTGTCCGTCTGTCCGTCTGTCCGTCTGTCCGTATGAACGCTGAGATCTCGGAAACTATGAGAGTTACAATACTGGGATTAGGCACGCAGATTCCTGAGATTCCTGCGCAGCGCAAGTTTGTTTCAGCACAGTGCCACGCCCACTCTAACGCCCACAAACCGCCCAAAACTGTGGCTCCTACAGTTTTGATGCTAGAATAAAAATTTTAACTGAAATGTGTTGTTCTCATCAATACCTATCGATTGACCCAAAAAAAAGTTTGCCACGCCCACTTTAACGCCCACAAACCGCGAAAACCTGTGACGCCCACAATTTTCATGCTAGATAAAAAATTTTAACTGAAATGTATTGGTCTCGTCGATACCTATCGATTGATCCAAAAAAAAATTTGCCACGCCCACTCTAACGCACATAACGCTTAAATCTGTATACCGCCGGTAGGTGGCGCATTTTAATCTCGCTTTGCTGCTTGCATATCTCCATATAGCTGAGTAACGGGTATCTGATAGTCGAGGTACTCGACTATAGCGTTCTTCCTTGTTTAATTTGTTTTCTTTAGTTCATCTATAGTAGTTCATCGCTCTTGGGATTCTGAACATAACTTTTCACCGATAAACCCGAAAAGCTGGCTTAGTTTAAATGAATATTCATCGAGATCTTAAGTTCAGCCAAAGAGTTTCCATACGTACTCCCAAATAATAAAAGCACCACATTTACATAAGCTTTCTTAATCGTTTTATTTTCCAACGTATTTGCATTTTAATGTGTTGTTTTCCTTACACGCTATGTATTAAGCAATCGATATATTAGGTGTAATTAAATTAAGCTAAATTAGAACGTATAACCTATAATGCGATTACTTGTCAACGAATCCGCTTTATGTAATTTACATTTTCATATTCGATACAAATTGTTTAAATTATTCTCGTCTTTATACAAAAATCACATTCGATTCGTTATGTATTCTCCTTGTGTCAGTTTTGTTATCTGTGTTAAAATGTTTTCCCTCGATTTGTGTGTGAACTTGGTTCGAGTTCAATTAAAGTTTAAGTACTAACTTGATATATGCAATTAACAAAACTCCTTCAGCTAAACGTTGATGAAACATTTTGTGTGTGTGTGGGCGTTCAGGAATTTATTGTTTCTAATTTTCCATTTTCCAATTTGAACTTTTTTCATTGCAGAAACTTGAAGGTGAAGTTTTTGTGGCGAGCAGGCGGCTGATATGAGTTATAAGTCTAGGCCTTAAAGCTAAGGGGCTTAAGTGAAATTCAATTTGCGGTTGTACGTATGCAGGGTGGTCGGGGGGTTGGTACATATGTATATGTATCGGTGATATGAGGGTGATATGTGGTGTGCTGAACTTTGTGCGAAAGCCGGGCTAATTGGGGCCAGTCGTCGGGATAAATGACTCAGGCGGAAGCTGCTGCTGGTGGTGCTGCTGCAGTCGGTTCCATTCCATATGGATGAGCATATGGTGAGCCCGCTCCTTCCTGCTCGTTCCTCGTCCTTTGTGTTGCTTTTCTCGAAACAAAAAGTAAACAGAAAGAAACATGGGCCGTGATAAATAATTCCCCGATGACTCCTGCGGTGGCACGTGCCCAGAATCGGCCAGGGACTCCTAGATGTACTTGGATATGTAGCGCTTCTGGATGAGTCGGCCGGCCTTGCGCTTCAGTATGGTGAAGCGTATTAACTGCTAATCGCTGAAGTGCGGCGAATGCGGCGGCACACGTGGGTACAGCTGTGGGGAAGAAAGAACAGAGAAGAGTTGGCACTCAGTTACCATCCTGCGTACGTGGCGGCCTTTCATCAGCAGCTCCATCAACGGGATACTCACCCCCAGGAGATTGCGGGGCACGTAGCCCTCCTCGCCGCCGGCATTCCGGGCCCACCACCACTCGTTCTCGGCGTCGTCGCCCTTGCGCAGCACGATCAGCGGCTCGTTCACGTGGAAGGAGAGCTCGTCGCCGTTCTGGGCCTCGTAGGAGAACACGGCGTACACGTCCCCATTGTGCAGGATGCCCAGCTTCTCCTGGATGCCTGTGAGTAGAGGATACGTTTTTATTACAATTTTATTAAATCAGTGACCTATCAATCTTTTGACCTTTTTACACATGAATAAAAAAATAAAAGTTGAAAATTGTTACATTACTATTTAAAATAGTAATATATTTTCTTGTTTTATTTTGTGATCCATTAAATAGTATTATAACAACTAAAATTATAAATTAACGATTTTCATAGGCAGGTAAATAGTAACATCACAACAAAAATGGAAAAACGTGTTCTTTCTTTACGATTCTGTATTGTAAATTAACTATTTTACTGGATCATCGAGGAATCTTCAGATCATCAGATATTTAATGAACATTTTTATTGAGTTATTGAGTCTTAATAATAAGACGGTCACTCATCAGTCTTGTGACCTTACTATTTCGTGGACCATTATATAGTTTTGTAACAACTAAAATAGTAAAACAACAATTTTTTTTTTCAATTATATAGTAACATTACAATGAAAATTGTTAAACCACTACTTGTTTAGAGAATACATGAAAAAAATTGTTTTCTTTACTATTTTGAATTGTAGATTAACTATTTTACTGGATCGTCGACGAATGGTCATTTGAGCGACCGTAGTTCAGTGGTAAGACTGTCAGGCTTTTATATATACTTGGGGACTACCTATTTATTTTATAGGATGTCTCTGTTCTAACTATAAAACCGCTGAATTTACCAAATTTTTGGGAATAATATTTGCCCTGCCCCACTTACTGTACAAATACTCGGAACAACCATCGAAGCCCTCCTCATCCTCCTCGCACTTCTCCGCCGGCGTCTCGTGATCCGACAGCGTGGAGGCGAACAGGCAGGCGCCATTCTCCACCAGGAACTTGACCATGGACAGATTGTTGCAGCTGGCGGCACAATGCAGTGGCGTCCAGCCATCCGAATCCTGGGCATTCACATCGCAGCCAAACTCAACGAGAAATCTAAAGAAGAAAGTGATTAATTAGTTGGAATAAAGAGCGCCAAAGGGTCATGTCACTTACTTGACAATGTCAAAGTGGCCGGCACAGATGGCATTGTGGAGCGCCGTAATCCCCTCATCGTTGGCCGCACTGGGATTGGCCACTTGCATGGCCGTCTTCTTGACCAGCTCCAGTTCCCCCTCCAGACTGGCGTCCAGCAGGAGGGCCAAGGGATCGAAGCTCACTCTTCTCGCCAGCTTGGGTTTTCCGTTGCCCGTTCGCTCCTTGATGTTGCTGGTTGTCGTTATGGTTGTGGATGCGGATGAGGATGTGGTTGTGGATGTGGTCTCCTGCTGACTGGCTGGTGGGACTACCATGCGATCTGTCTCATCCGCGCTGGATTCACTGCTCGGCGAGGGCTGGGGTGAGGTTGTGTCCTGTTGGCTATCCGCCAGCTGTCTTACTGGAGTCTCCGATTTTCGCTGATTTTGGAGCACTGGTGGGGGCTTCTGTTGGCCATTGGAGCTGGATTGGCTGGACTTGAGGCGAGGTTGCTCGAACAGCGGCTGCTTGCGAATGGTCAGTGGCTTGGCCTTGATGGGCAAGTTGTCATTGATGTTCAGCGATTGCAGGCCAAAGGTGGCCGTCTGGGTCTTGGCTGTCGGCGCTGCTCCTCCTGATCCTCCGGATCCGGATGCACTGGCCTCCACTGGCGATGGCTGCTCGGTGGGTGACATCTTGCTGGGCTTGGGCGGCAGGGCGGGTCGGGGATCGGTCATCACCACATTGGGCGCCACGCGATTCACCTTGGGGCTGTAGGTGATCATTTTGGGTATGGAGCTACCGCTGCCGCTGCCCATCGATGTGGGCGCCACACTGCTGATGGGCTTGCGTGGCGGCACCGCCAGATTGCCCACCTGCACCTGGAGCGGCTTGGAGGCATTGGACACGGCCAGGGCCACCGATTTGCTAATCGCCCCCAGGGGCATGCTGTGCACAGTGAGCTGCTGCTGGGTGTTGCGCTCGGATAGTGTTTCGCTGGTCACTGAAATCTCGTTCTTCTTGGAATGCTGATGATCCTGGCTCTCCTTTGCCGTTGCCTGCTGGTTGAGTTTGTTGATCAGGGCGGAGGCGGAACTGCTAGTGCTGCTGCTCGAGGAGATGCTCTTGGGGATTTTGCTGGCATTCGTGGAGGCGGGAGGAGATGTTGCTGCTTGGCTGGCTGCCTCTGCAGCTGCTTGAGCTGCTGCTGCTGCTGCTGCTGCTGCCGCCGCCGCCGCTTCCCGATCTCTCTTCTTGGGACCCACTTCCGCGTAAATATGCGTGGTGCTGTCCATGGCCTCCGTTTGAGCCTTTTGGCGCAACTCAGCCTCCGTCTTGCCAGGAGCCGCCAGCAGCTTCTTGGCCAATTTGGACTCGTCGCTTTCACTGCTGGAAGTCGCATTGGCATTGGCCACCGGCACGGGCACAGATCCCGCAAAGAAACCATTGTTCTGCCCCAGCTTGACGTGCGTCAAGTCTTGGATGAGCTGGTTCTGCTGGTTGGTATTAGCCGTTGCTGCAGCATGCTTCATCCCGCCACTCAGATAGCTGGCCGTGCTCGTGATGGTGGACTTCTGGGGCGTGTGGATGAAGGGCTCCACTGCGGCAACATTGCCACGAGCTCGTCCAGCGGCAGCGGCGGCGGCGGCAGCTGCCAGTTGATTCACTTGCTTCTGCAGCAGTTGCTGCTTGAGGGCAGCCACTCCGCCATGTTTGCTGGCCAGGTTGCTGCCAGACTGCTGGAATGTCTGCTGCTGCTGCTGTTGCTGCTGGGCAGTTGCTGCTGCTGCTGCTGCAGCTGCTGCTGCCAGCAACTGGGCAGACTGCACATGCAGTTGTTGCTGCTGCTGTTGATGTTGCTGCTGCTGTTGCTGTTGCACCGTCGGCTGTTGTTGCTGCTGCTGATGTTGCTGCTGCTGCTGCTGTTGCTGGTGATGGGTGTTGGCCTGCTTTTTGCGCTGCAGGCGCGTCTGCAGCTCATAAATGCGCTGGTCCACCGACCGCAACTCCGCCTGTCGTTGCTGCAGCGCCTCGCGTTGCATGTGCAGCCGTGCATCCTGCTGCAGTGACAACTGATTGCGATACTGCAATAATAAATAACAATTAAGTAGAAAAGCATCGCCCCAATTAGTGGCTCTTGTGCTCCAACACTCACCATCAGTTCGCGGCGCAACTTTTCCAGCTCGCGGGATGCCTGGGGAGGAAGGGCCTGGCCAACTCCATTGCCAGCTGCTGCCAGGATGTTCACAGGACATCGACGGTCACGTCGCAGCTCCTCCAGCTGGCGGGTGAGAGCCTCCACCTTGGCCACGGCCAGGCTGAGCTCCTTCTCCTTTTCGCTGAACAGCGCTCGAATCGAGTCCAAGTCATTGCCTACAAAGGGGGGGGACAAAATGGTTTAAAGAAAATCAAAAATAATCTATTAATATTTCCCAACCCTACCATTCACTTTGTAATGTAATCTAAAATAATCAGTGCATATTTCCCAACCCCACCATTACCACCTCCCTTAATAAGAATATACCCTTAGTACGGTTATTATCTGGGCTATAATGTCTAATCTCTGGCGCTTATTAAGGCCTCCACCACTAAATCATAATTATACTTTACCTAAAAACAAGCTGAAACAATCTGTAGTTAAGCACTTGATTCTTGATTAAGGTGGGTGCTTCTTTCTTGAGTGCCCAGCTTAATCAACAGCGTTCTCCCGATCCATTCCCTTTCACCACTAACTATTTTATAATCGCTGGCCGCCTGCTGGTCGCCGGTGTTTTCCTTTCGTGGATTTGGGTTGCCTGTTCAAACTAATTACAGCCGCAGCACAGGGCGCCAGCTCATTAACATAATACCCTTGTATGGCAATGTGTGTGCGGGCCAACATCTTCTTAGCCATGTTCAGGGGGCGTTGTTCCCGCCCACAGGCAATCATAAAGGACAACAAAGTGGCACACATACATAAATTAAATTCATACACGCGAGGGACGAGTGGAGGGGGATGTGGATGTGGATGTGGATGGGTCTGGGATTGGGTGCTCCGGAATGGAGGCAGGCCACCACTCAACACGGTTTTAACACATGTTAATTCACCCAGAGAACCCCTCTTCTCCACTCAGCCAGCGGTGCTTGACTCAATTGGAGAGGGAAGCTTAGGAAGGGATAGGATATCCCAAGCAGATGCACTTGGTGGCACTTTGCCACTGCCCCTAAACTAATCCCCCACCTCCCCCCCCTTTTTATCCACCCCTGCACTGTTCAAAAGTTGCATAATAAATCGGGGTCGTGCCTTGTGAAATGTAATTCAAAATTGAAAACAATGGAGGACAATTACTCATTGCTTTATAAAATATTAAAATGATTAAATATTAAACCTTTAACTGAAATGGATTGTTAATGCAGATATCAGATATTTAAGAGTGTTTTTTTATTTCTAACTATTAACGGATATAGGACGGGGTATTTAAACCCATAATCATCTCGAAAAAGCGGCCATGTTCATAAATAAGTTTAATATTACCAATTTCGAAAAATATACTAAATATATTTTTAAACTTGGCTTTTTACATTTCTCTAAAGACTTTTAGATTAAACTGAGTTCTATCTAGAATGGAATTTTTTTAGAGAAAGGTCATACTCTTTAAAACCTTACTGAGACTTTTGTTATAAAGTTGTTATAAATAATACCTGTATATGTTAAAACGTTCTTGTTAAATTTTAAAAATATAAGCAGGCAAATGTCAAAATGCTAATACCCTTGACTTAACATTTAACAAAAATAGTAATTTAGTTAATACTCGTATATGGTTACAGAAATGTTGTCCAATCAAACTGTATACAAATTTGTAATGACTAGGTTGATATATGAATATTTCCCCCCTCACTCGGGTTAAAAAGTATATGTAATTTGTACTTTATTCCAAGTTTTTTGATATCTACTCAACAATTAATTTTTATATGCCCCTCTCCCACAACCGAGTTCTGGATTGGCCAATGCAACATGGTATAAACTATATCCCTCGCAGTACGATCTTGATCTGCTGCCCCTACTATCCCTTAAACCCTGTTCCCATGTATATAAACGAAGTAGAGCTTTCTGCCAGTGTACTCACTCAGGGTGACATTGTAGGTCTTCTGCAGGTCCACTTGACCCCGCAGCGCTCGCAGGCGGCGCAGCTTGGACTCCTGGGCCTCCACCCGCTCCCGCAGCCGGCGGAGCCGCTCGCCCTCCGCGCTGGCCACTGCGCTGCGCACCTCCTGCGACTTGAGGAAGCGCAGGCGCTGCTCCTTGGTGGCCAGCAGCTGGTGCTGGCTGTCGATTTGCTGCTGCTGTCTCAATGCCATCGCCCTCAGTTCGGCTGACGTCAGCCTGCTGGGCACCTGCAAATGCAAAGATACAGATTGAGATGTCGGATCGTTAGCGTGATGATAAGCAGCGGTGTGTGTGTGTCATCCACCCGCATCACCCCGAATAAACCCAAACGTGAGAAATGAAATTTCACAATTTATAATCCGAGACGTAACCGAAAAACCCACCCTACGAGGCGGGAAACTCAAAAGTCAAACTGAAAGTTGTCAGCGTTCGTGGTCAGCCATAAATCAAGTTATGCTTAAGCTAATTTCGGCTTTTTGTTGTGCCGCAGATTGGATTTGCTCCAAGGATGTGGAGAAGGCAGCCTTAGATACCGGGATACTCACATTCAGCTTGGGCTCAGAGGTCACCACCACTCCTCGCGTGGGGCTGACAAAGGCCAGGGAGGCTGTCGATGATGATGACGATGATGAGGATGCCCGGTGGGCGGGCATCAGGGAGGCGGGCGGCATCTTGGGCAGATTGCCGGAGACGGGTCGACACACGCAGGTCAACATTTTCGACGGCCTCTTTTGATTTTTCGCTTCGATTTATCTTTGGTTTATTTGAATTTATGTTTCGTTTTGGTTATTATTCAGTGCACTTGGAGAAACCGACGCGATTCGTGTTCTGCTTCACAAAAAATCATAGAAAATCGATTTATATAGGAAAGAATTTTCTCACAGTCTGTAAACCATCGCCTTTTAAAATGATTTTTTATAGTGGCGAATTTTACATATTTAACACATCAATATTCAATTGTGTTCTGGCCCTCAAAATTTTTAATGAAAAGGGTTAAAGATCTTATGACACTAGCCTGATTTTTGACTTACTGAATGGATTTGTTTTATAAAGTCATGACTCATGACTACCTAAACGTAATTTAATATAAAAATTCTTTAGCTATATAAGTAACCTCTTTCTCTAGGTTGCCATGACTTTGAAAAATAAAAAGAAAACTAATGGCGAATCATAGCATATCTGTAATCAGTTATGTTTTATTTTCATGCATGAACTCATTACTTTTTCAAACAAATACAGTAAGTAAGTCGAAATTAAATGAAGTTTCGGCCGTTAATAATCATGCTCAGTGCTTTGGAGGAAATTTTGTAAGATTGAATTCTGGCCTTGTAAAGTATATTTTAGAAACAAATAGATGAATTATAATGAATAGAAAATGTTATAACATTCGAATTTTATTTGTAATTCCAAACTAAGATGTTTGGCATAAAGCTAATCTTCACTGATCCTATAGTGTTCGTACTTAAAGAAGTGCTTTTAAATGTATTCACTGGTAAACATCACATCGTTTTTCTATGTGCACCCTCCCGGACTTCATTCTTAGTTGCAATTCCATTCACTGGCTTGCGATAGTGTCCTTGACTGCAGCAGAAAAGCAGGAACAGAAGCACCAAATTTGTGTGTTATTTTTTTATTGTTCAAGAAAATGTATAGCGCCGGAGAGTTTGGCGGACCATGGAACCCCCGACTTCCGGATCCCCCTAGTGGAAAACAGCGGGTGCCAGTGGCAGTGCCAGCTGGCGCCAGTGCCTCTGCCTTGTACTCGTTAATGGATTTTCAATTCAGTGCCTGATTGAAAGCACACTTTGTGTGGCCGTGGGTGTGAATGGGGGTGCCTCTGTTCGTGGGTGCTGGTGGAAAGTGCACGAGTGTTGCAACCATGTGGTTGTTCTGAAGTGCGTGGGTGGGTGGGTCTATTTGGTTATGGGGTGTTTACCAAACGCCTACGGGGTTGTCAATGGCAACGGGCAGTGCCGTGACAATAAAAACGCTCCATGGACTACGAGTTCCAACTGCTGAAACAACAAGCAGCAGTTAAAGTCATAGTTGCGTGTACATAATCGCTGCCACTTGCAATTACATAAAGGATACGGAAGGGGTGGGGTCAAGGAGCGGTTCGGTTCGGTCCGGACCCGGCACGGGAAAATATGGAAAAACCGGATAGAAGCAGATCTAGCCCTAACAGAGTCACTCTTGAGCGGAAAAACACGTACATATATATCCACTCGACGGGCTAAAGACCGACAGCAAACAATAAAATGCCGTCATGAGGATTGGCCCTGGACACGTCCCAGTCTGTTATCGAGTATCGTGTCTACTTCACGCCGACACTGGGGATAAACATGCCGGGCATAATCAGGAATATCATTGCGCGTTCAAAAGTTATACGCCATTGAGCACACATATCGTAAAATCTGTAATGGCAGAATGTCCACACTTGAGAGTAAATAACTCTATTTATAGGAGGAAATTTAAACAAGGATACTTATCCAATTCTTCGCGGAACGTAGGATTTCTTTAAAATACTTTACTTTACTTTAGATAATATGGTCAGCATAAAAGGATCTACCTATGCTAGATATCATAAAAAAATATTGAAATAGAACAAAATAATAAATAAGACCTAATTTTTATTGTAAGAAGCATTAGATACAATTTGTATAAACTGACATAAACATTTTGGAAACTTGCTTATTTATAAACATTTATAAAAATGCGTTCATTTGAAAATATGTTGTAAAAGAGGCTTGTAACAAATATTTCTAATATGGGAAATCCATTCCAAAAATTTCAGATGTAAAATGTGAAACATTTTTTCTCACTGCATTTGCAACTCAACCATCCATTGACTAGCACTCGTTCCCATGGTGCTTTTTGCTTTTGGCCTCGCCAAGTACAATTGGCTTCGGTCACCATCATCAAGTCCAGGGACGAATTGATGATGGCGATGACGATGACGATGGCGATGATGACGGTGGCTGCAATGGATTGCCCTGGCAAGAGCTGCTTCAATTTTTAACCCCACAAGATGATCAGGCAGGGCAGAAGACAGACTGCAATGAATACTGGAACCCATTCCCCTCACTCAATTTATTGCCCCTTTTCTGGGTCACATTATGCTTGCGGATGTAGCAAATAAAAAAAATAAGAGACGCATTACGGTGAAATGATACACAAAAAAAGCATACATATGTCCCGAGACAGCGCGTTTCGCAGCTATAAATCACATGTAAAACACCAGCCCTAAAGTGAGACATCAAATGTCCGGCAGTCAACTTCCCAAAAACGACTGATCTTTAAGGTAAACCATTTGCAGCTGTCATAAAGTTAGCCATAAGCGGTTTGTCAAACTTTGCAACTGTTTAAAGACCAAGTTCCTCTATCTTTGGGCCATAGTTTTAACGAACTTGCCGGCAGCGTAATGAATTAATCTACTTTCCACCGATGCCATCTGCGCAAATATTTGCTCAAAAAAGCAAACTTTGCCGCACCAACAGGACAGCAAAAGCAAAAGCAAAAGCTCGAAACTTGTCGAATGCATTGAGACCGCAGAAACCAAAAAACCAAAGGCACACGGCCCGGGCGATGAATGTATCCTGTAAATTCAATGTGGCGGCAGCCAGCCAGCCAACCAGCCAACCAGCCATCCAGCATTTTCGAGGAATATTTTCCAATTAACAAAGTTTGTCATAATAACTCGCTCGCTGGCAGGAATCTCCAGCATGTAACGAGCAATGTGCTCGGCGTTATACCCCCGACATTCCTCCTCTCTGTATTTACATTTTTGCAGCCATTTATGGCGCTGACGAAGCTAAGCAGTAGGAACAAGGAACAAGGAGCAGGAGCAGCAGGAGCAGGAGCGGCAGGAGCAGCTGAGGAATCAGCAGTGAAGGACACTCTACCCAGTCCCAAGAATTTCCGGCATTTTCGCTGGCGCAGCGCAAAAAGTTACCCACTGAGAATAAAATAGAGCAATATCAGTTTCCAATTCCCAACTATACCATCGTTAACCCTGAAAAATAATTGAAATCGGATCTGTTTGTTTTGCATTTTAGAAAATATCTATTGACTTCCATTTAGGAGCAAGGTTAAAGGTAAAACTTTAACCATATAACTAAACAAAACTACTTTGATTATCTTTATATAATATGTTATAAAAATAAAGTGGAAAATTTAAATATATGCTAGGGTATCTTATAAAACCTAACATTTTTTATAAGCCTTTCAACATTATAATAAGAACTATTATTCTCTTTTTTATCGAAACAGGCTAACTATCAAACTTATTCTTATCTAATAAAAAATAACAGAGTTTAAAACAGGTACCAAATTAATCAATTCAATTATTTTTTGCGGTTATACGTTACTATTTATGATTTTTTATTGTAAAATTGTTATAAAAGGATGTTAATTATGATTTTGTTATGTATTTATGCTATTTGTTGCACATTATACTTAATGTATTATAGGCATTAAGTTGGGTTGTCGACGTTTTAAATAATTTTTTATGTTTTACTTAAAAAACACTTTTTTCTAGAAATAAAAATATAAATGTAGCCTTCAACTTCATTATAATAAAGCTCCCATTTATTTCTTTTCGTGCATTCGAAGGGGAGGCAAAAACGCAACTATTTATGTTGCACAGCGACGAAGTACCCCTTTACATTTCAGAGTGGGTTATCGGAGGGCAATGGGCGGTGGGCGAGGAGCGAGGGGCGTGGCAGGAACCAACCAATATAATTGTACATTGAAAGATGTCGGGGAAAAAGTCGCGACGTCGTTGGCATTGTATAAATGTTGTTGCCTCTGGTGTTGCCACTTCTGCTTCTACTGTTACTGCCTTTTGTTGGTGGCGGAGCAACAAGCATTTTATTGATTTTAGCCCCGTTTTCAGAAGGAGTTTGGGGGCAGAGCAGGACATCGCGTGCGCTTACGTTTATTGCTAATTTTTTCCCCTTTTGTTCTACTTTTCTTTTGCGTCCTGTCGCAACTGGCCCTACTTCCATTTGCCACTTTTCTCGGCAGTTGGCCGGACAGTGTCCTTGCTGCACATTTCCAAATCGATTACAAACAGGATATGCACTGCGGAAGCGTGTTTGATGGAAGTGCCAGCCGCAGCAAAACGATTAGAGGGGAAACAGCCCTCAGAAACCCATGGAATACCCCGCATTCCGAGCCCCACCGGACGCACACACACATCCGGTTGGGATTCAGTCACGGATTGGGATTGGGATTGGATTGGCCGCCATCGCCTTTGTGGCCATTTTGTATTTTAATTAATTCCAGCAACTGGCGACGAGCTAAAGTTTTGCCTATGCGATAGAATGTCCGCAACTTTGGCAATTTGTGTGCAACGAGGGGAGACGAATGGGCCCGCTGACGAAAACGAGACAAGGACACCTGCAGTCCACATCCTCAACCTAAACCTCATCCCCCAACCTCACATATAAATATATTCATTTACCAGCAGGTAGCAAGCCAGGGTTGCAAGCCAGCAAAAGACCAAAATCCATTATTAAATTAAGATATTTGATATGCTTGCTCTGCATTGAAAGCTGAAACTTAAATTTAAAATCAGGAAAATATTTAAAATTGCCTTTGAACCACTGGAACCAAGTTAATTTGCCTTTTGTGACAGATAGAAGCATTTTGCCAGAGGATCAGTGCAGAAAAAATAATCATTTTAGCCGCAAAACCAAAGCAAAGCCGCAATTTGATTGTCAACTAAATTGTCGGTGGAAATTCATTTGTGACATTTTGTGCATCCCTGATAAAAACATATTCCTCGTCTTTGGACCGCACACACATATGGTAAATGCGACAAGGAT